GGCCGCCCCGCTGCCCCGCTGCCGGGGCGTCCTCAGAGGCTTTGCTCCCGGTGTCCCTGGTCTGCTGGGGACCGTCTCCAGCAGACCAGGGACACCGGGAGCAAATCCGGGGAGGCGGAGGGGCGCTGGGGTATAAGACAAAACCCTATCTTTTAACTAAAAAATTAGGGGGTCGTCTTATACGCCCAGTAGTCTTATACGCTGGAAAATACGGTAGGTGCTTAAACAAAACCCCAAAGGCTCACATTTCCAGTCCTGGGTACCTGAAGTCAGACACTTAAATCCATCTCTAGGCTCCTAAATAAGGGAGCTTGATTTTCAAAGGTGCAAGAGGATTTATGTGTGCACAGCTTGTTTGAAAAGCAGGCCACTGCTAGTTAGACACATAAAACAGGGCTGTGGACTTCAGGCCAGATTTTTTTTAAAAGGTTTTAGGTTTTTTAAGGTTTTTGGCTGCTTAATGATGCAGATAACTTTTGAAAATCCCTATAAGCACCCAAGAACTTTTTTAAAAATATTGAGCCCTTCCTGTTGGTAATTTCCTCATTTGTACACAGGGGATAGTGATATGACATGGAATGTTTTTCCAACCAGAAATTAGGGGTTTGATGCAGGAATCGCTGAGCAAAAAACTATGGTGACTGATTTGTAGGAGGTTTGATTAAATGATCATACTGGTTCCTTATGGTTTTAAACGTGTCATTGTAGTACACTGGTATCTACAGATGAACTGCACTGATACATGCTAGGGATTAATTGTATCAGGGCTTGTCTTCTGTGTGTTTCAATGTCAGGTTAGATTTGTTCTGAGAAGTACTCTAGCGAAGGAACTTCACAACTATGCCTCTTGCTCTTTCCACTTTTGACTGTGCCACCTCTTCTGCCCCCACATACTTCATTTGGAAATGGAAAACAGAGATCTCAGAAACAGGCCAGATAGTCCTGTTATAATACAATAAGGCATCTAGAGCCACAGATGTCCCAGGGTATCATTTCATTAGAGTTCCAACAGGGATGAAGTCAGCCCTGTGTTGAACTCACAATCAAGTGAGCAGGTGGATTCCATTTTGATGGGTTGCTACAAGATGTTTTACTGCAAAAATTGTTGACACAACTACCTAGGGCTAATTTCATGGCTGCAGTTTTAAGGGGTAATCAAATGCTGGGTTTTTATAAGAGACGAGGTGTGTGCCGTATTGCTCTGTGTGAGGCTTTTTATATTTCCGACACAGTTGCACTGACAATATGATGGTGGTGATTAGGAAGATCCCGCTTGCTAGGGACAAGACAACAAAGATGAATTTGTAGCTGGGCTTTGTAGTAAAGTGGGTGCATGGATTGCCCGAGATCTTTTCACTTGTTATCTGGCTCAATCCTGCTTTGTTCGAAGCAATCACGCACACCGAGTAGCTGGTGTCCGGTGAAAGTTCGTACAACGTGTGCTTCCTTGCCGTGGGATAGATCTCGGCAACCAGGATCTGGTTCTTGCTGTCTTTGGCATGATATACAAGCTGATAAGTATTCACGACTGAATTGGGAGCACACCAGTGGATCTGTGCTGATGTGTCTGTCGTTTCAGACACTTCTTGGAGCCTTGGTGGATCTGGAACGGTGTCTTCTCCAGACACTCCAGGACATAAACATGGGGACAACCTCTGCAGTTCAGAGCATGGCTTCTGGAGGTGTTGGCAGGGGTCATAGTCACAAGAGACTACTATTGGTTGAGTTATGGTTTCCTCTGGTTGATCATCATCATAATAGTCATCAATGTAAAGCACTGGTATTCCAACATGGGTAGGATTTGGAATAGGGTTTGCCTCTGTGGAATTTTGTGACAGTTGAGCTTTCTGAGATGGACTTACTGTGCCAGGAAAAAGAGGCGAGTTTGTTCCGATTAGTCCTGTCGCCTCAGTGGAAGGGTTATTAGTAGACTGGTAGAATGTTCCCTCTTGGTGGAACACAGCATTGGCCGTTGTGGCATTTCTTTTCAACGGATCTGTTTTGATTGTACTCGCAGTGCTCTGCTGAGTTAAGAAGTCACTATAAAGCTCTCCCGGAATGGTGAAAGAGGGGGCTACTGCTCCTGCAGTAGAGGGACTGTTATTAGATTTGGAAAAAATGTCCACGCTTGTGGGACTATTCTTCATTGGAGCTGTTGGTGTCACACTTACGTTTCGTGGCATTGAGGAGTCGCTGTCAAGTTCTTTGGTGGATGGAGTAGAGTCCATCACTGCTACCTCAGGAGTGGCATTGTTGGTGGGAAGGGTGGAAGAGTCTTCTGTGAGTGGGTGCATGTTTGATGTGGGGAATGTGGTGTTTCTCTTAGCCTCGCATGCATTGTAGAGTTGTAACAGTGAAAGAGATGATGACGAAGAAGACAGCTCTCTGTCTTCTGGAGCTGTGTTGCAAGTGGTGTCAGATGCCCTGTAGAATGAAGTAAATAAGTTAGAAACGTCATAACACCAGCAGCATCTAGGAAACGTATCAGAGAGTGAGGCGATAATGCCAATCCGAAACTTGTTCTCTCAGATGGAATCTGGCCAGACCGTTTGGGCTACAGTTCTCTTTCGTGCTGATTTTCCTCATCATATTACCAACTCGGCTGCCTGCGTTTTGCAAGGTGTAGCAAATATCCCTTAACTGGAAGGGCCACGGGTCTGATTCAGCAAGGTGCTATGGAAGTTGAAGGGGCAACACGCAAACCGTCAGGTTCCCAAGCGAAGTTGAGTAATGCCTCTCCACATCGGACAGCAGGGGCAGCGTAGAGTGATGTGCAGTTATTTCCCTAGTGTCCTTGCTCCCAGCTGACTCTGGAATCTCACAATTTGACTGCAGATCTGTTTGATAGTGCAAAATGCTATTAACACCAGTGAGGCTATGTCTAGACTGCAGGCTTCTTTCTGAAGAATCTTTTTTTGGAAGAGATCGTCAAAAAAAACTTCTTCAGAAAGGGAGCATCCACACACAAAAGTGCATTGAAAAAGCCATCTTCTTTTTCGAAAGATAGCATCCACACTGAATGGACACTATCTCGCATTTAAGCTGTGATTACTATGGACGGAGTGGCCACCAGGGCACCTGCGCTTTTCCTCTTTCCTCTTCTTTCGAAAGAACTCCCTCTTCCCCATCTACACATGCCTTTTTCTGAAAGAGCTCTTTTGGAAAAAAGCTTCTTCCTCATAGAAGGAGGATTACCAACACTGGAAAAATCCCTCTGTTCTTTTGATTTGCTTTCAGAAGAATGCGATAGCAGTGTGGACGTAACTCAGGTTTTGTTGGAAAAACAGCCATTTTTCCGACAAAACTTGGTAGTGTAGACATACCCTGAGCTAGCTTACATTGTATCTTCACTCGCTGTAAAGCGCTAACAGGAGGGCAGACAATACTTATCTGCAGAGGCCATCATTTTACAGTTCTGCTTGTGTTAACAGGCTGGTGCTGCTTTCAAATAGAATTAGCCCATTCTTAGTTCTTGAAGAGATCTTTATTTTAAACCATCTGTCCTTTGAGGAAGATAGCAACAGATGGTACTAATATTGATGGGGGTTGTATTTCAACAGGAGAACGACATCATCCATGAATAACTTGTAACAGAAATTGCAGTAAACAGGCTCAGGATAATCCTTACATTCTCTCCCACATTCCGGCTGTATGAGTAATATGCAGCTGACAGGTCATTTACCTTTGCAGCACGACTCTCTCAGGATCCGAAAGTAGCCAGGAAAGCTCACAGCTGCACTCTAAAGGATTTCCATACAGGTTGATTTGGATGTTGCCTGATGAGTTGATATTCCAAGGATGAAAGGAGCTCAGGTTACAGCTAGGAGATGAAAAATAGGAGAATTGTTAGCAGGCGTCCGCTAAGGTCCAAAGGCTGGCTTGTGCTTTAACAGCCAGTCTGTGTAAGGGGAGGCAGCAATCTGTTGCTGGCACATAGCGGATTACTAATGCACTCCCTCCCTCAAGAAAACCATGTTCATTCTCACGTATCCCCCTCACATGGAGTCACATTTGTCCCAATGGAGATTCACTCTCTATAGCAGACTTATGTTAAAGGCATAACTGGAATGATGTAGGAATGGCAGCCAGAAAGGAAAAGGATTGTGCACTCAGCAACTCTGCTTTGTTAAAGTTTGTCTTACCCCTATACCTTTGCATTCATCTCTGCTTTCATTTCATTAAGTTTGCAGATGATACCAAGCTGGGCGGGGTTGCGACTAATCTGGAGGATAGGGTCATAATTCAAAATGACCTGGACAAATTAGAGAAATGGTCTGAGATTAAACTTCATCCTATTTATAAGGACAAATGCAAAGTGCTCCACTTAGGAAGGAACAATCAGTTTCACACATACAGAATGGGAAGCGACTGTCTGGGAAGGAGTATGGCAGAAAGGGATCTAGGGGTCATAGTGGACCACAAGTTAAATATGAGTCAGCAGTGTGATGCTGTTGCAAAGAAAGCAAACATGATTCTGGGATGTATTAACAGGTGTGTTGTGAGCAAGACACGAGAAGTCATTCTTCTGCTCTACTCTGCGCTGGTTAGGCCTCAATTGGAGTATCGTGTCCAGTTCTGGGGACCACATTTCAAGAAAGATGTGGAGAAATTGGAGAGGGTCCAGAGAAGAGCAATGAGAATGATTAAAGGTCTAAAGAACATGACCTATGAGGGAAGGCTGAAAGAATTGGGTTTGTTTAGTTTAGAAAAGAGAAGATTGAGGGGGGACATGATAGCAGTTTTCAGGTATCTAAAAGGGTGTCATAAGGAGGAGGGAGAAAACTTGTTCATCTTGGCCTCTGAGGGTAGAACAAGAAGCAATGGGCTTAAACTGCAGCAAGGGAGGTTCAGGTTGGACATTAGGAAAAAGTTCCTAACTGTCAGGGTGGTCAAACACTGGAATGAATTGCCCAGGGAGGTTGTGGAATCCCCATCTGTGGAGATATTTAAGAGTGGGTTAGATAAATGTCTATCAGGGATGGTCTAGACAGTATTTGGTCCTGCCATGAGGGCAGGGGACTGGACTCGATGACCTCTCGAGGTCCCTTCCAGTCCTAGTATTCTATGATTCTATGATTTCATCCTACTCCCTATTTCCTGCCCTCTGGGCCTCCCAATTCACCACCCTTCTTTTTGCTATGCTGGGAATAGCTTCAATTCCTATATGCCAATCACTCTCCTTATGTCGACATCTCAGTTGGTAGAGCCCTGCCAATCTGCAGATGTTTGCTTTATATCCACAGACAGACCACAGATCAGGATGCAAATACAAACTGTGTAGTACTCTGTGCAGGTCTCTGCTCCTGGGTATAGTGTTACCAGCTATAATGATATTTGATGTTTTTCTGAAGGTTCCAGCTTCGAGAGCACAGGGAATAATTGGAGAATCTCATTTTTGAACCTTCATAATTGCAGAGAAAAACTTGAAAATGTGATCTGAGTGCACCCTACCGGTTCAGAAACCAAAGAAAAAGCACCCAGCATTTATTGTTTTAATAATCTCAGGACTTTGACGTCAATCTCATGATTATTTTTTTAAAGCACCACTCCTGGTTTTGAAGATGGCAACACTGTGGATGGCTCTGTACCATCTTGTGTCTGAACTGTCTTGTGCCTTTTCCTTCTGAGTTAGAGACCCTAAGCTTTGTGTAGGAGGCGGCCGTCCTGGTCTATCTTGTGAACAGCATTGTGTGACTTCTGTACCCAAATGCAGCAGTGTAACTGATAGGGGATTCTGGTCCTCTCTTTGTTTGCAACCACTTAAACTTGTGTTCACACAGCGAGTGCCCTGTTTTTTCATTGTCTGCTGTACTCGGATTCCTGACGGTGGCTTAAAGGATTTTCCATAATATCCTCTAAATCCTTTCCTAATCAGTCCTGACTGCTGTATGTGCAGTGCACTTCTTAGTCTGGTAACCTTTGTTAATATATAAACTGTTGAACAATTGTGTAGCCCAGTGTTTCTCAGCCAATGGTACAAGTACCCTTAGAGATTCTCGAAGTCTGGGAGGCGGTGAGTCAACACAACTGAAATTTAGAGAGAACTGAATTTTTAATTTAAGTTTTATAGCGCTTCATTATTTTTGTACTTTTTGCACCAAAAATTTAATCACCCACCCAGTTATGATTAAATTGTTTAAACAAATGTGTTGCAATGGTAGGAAAAAAATGTGTGTGTCTGAAAACTGTAGGTCACTTTTTTTTAAGGGATACTTTATAAAAAAAGGTTGAGAAACACTGGTGTAGCCCACCAGGTAGATGATGCAAAAGATGTCCTTAGCACTGTATCCTTCCCTGTAAAGAATCAAGGAGTAGTTGTTTCTTAACACTGAACAAGAAACTCTGTAGGAAGCAATAATTACCCTGTCTCTCTGGAGTATGGCACAGAGAGTTTAAAGAAACAACAGGCACCGTCCATAAAAGGTGCACTGCTGCTCTTACAGAGGAATACTGGCACTTTAAGGGACTGGTACCAGGTTCTGCTGCACCACAGGTTACTAAGGGCACCAACTGCGAGGTACAAGTGTAGTACGTTGTGTGAGTGGCACAAGATCCAGCTGCTTCTGCTAGTGACCTGGTGTGCATGACTTTGGCCAACTCTCAGCTTTGCCAACTCTCATTAATTTTATCGTGGAACTCACAGTATTTAGTGTGTCTTCTTAGCTTCAGCCCCCACATCAGGGTTTCTCACCCTTGTGATTAAAGAAAAAAATATTTCGAAACATGACCTGAATTGACCCCCAAAAGTTCAAAAACCAGAAAGCAAAAGACACCTCACCCCACCGACACATACTTATTTTTAAAAAGCAAGTTCATGATTTTTAAGCCAGTCTCCAGAAGTTGAGGAGGGCCTGGTTCATGATTTTTGAAGGTGTGTAGTTGGCAATGCAGAGGTCACGTGAAATCAGTAGGAGATAAGAACTGCAGAATATGCCCCAGTTTGCGTCAGACTCTCCAACTAATGATGCTAATGGTACTTCCCTGTAGCACAGGGATGATGAGAGCGTAGGTTAGTTACATTTGCAGGGTGCACTGAAGATGTAATTTGCAATGGAAATACCTTCCCTTTCTCCCACTCCATAAAACATCCCTTGGCCCACCGCAGCCTCCCTCATTATCTGTTATTGCTGGAATGACTAGGATGAGAATTTTGGCTACTAGAATCATAAAACACTAGAACTGGAAGGGACCTTGAGAGGTCATCAAGTCCAGTCCCCTGCCCCATGGCAGGACCAAACATCATCCATTCTAGATCATCCCTGATAGATGTCTGTCCAGTCTGCTCCTGAATATTTTAGTGATGGAGATTCCACAACCCCCCTAGGCAATTTAGTCCAGTGTTTAACCACCCTGATAGTTAGGAAGGTTTTCCTAATGTCCAACAAAAAACTTCTCTTGCTGCAATTTAAACCCATTGCTTCTTGTCCTGTCTTCAGAGTTCAAGAAGAACAATTTTTCTCCCTCCTCCTTGTAATGCCCTTTTAGATACTTGAAAACTGCTATCATGTTCCCTCTCAGTCTTCTCTTTTCTAAACTAAACAAGCCCAGTTCTTTCAGGCTTCCCTCATAGGTCAAGTTTTCTAGACCTTCAGTCATTTTTGTTGCTCTTCTCTGGACCTTCTCCATTTTCTCCACATCTTTCTTGAAATGTGGAGCCCAGAGCTGGACACAATACTCCAATTGAGGCCTAATCAGCGCGGAGTAGAGTGGAAGAATCACTTCTTGGCTATGTCTACACTGGCGCGTTCTCACGCAAAAACTCGTTTGCGGAAGAGTTCTTGAGCAAAAACTCTTCCAGAAGAGGGCGTCTACACTGGCATGGATGCTCTTGCGCAAAAGCACATCTCTTGTGCAAAAGCACATGCCAGTGTAGACGCTCTCTTGCGCAAGAAAGCTCTGATGGCCATTTCAGCCATAGGGCTTTCTTGCGCAAGAGAGCGTCTACACTGGCATGGATGCTCTTGCGCAAAAGCACATCTCTTGTGCAAAAGCACATGCCAGTGTAGACGCTCTCTTGCGCAAGAAAGCTCTGATGGCCATTTCAGCCATAGGGCTTTCTTGCGCAAGAGAGCGTCTACACTGGCATGGATGCTCTTGCGCAAAAGCACATCTCTTGTGCAAAAGCACATGCCAGTGTAGACGCCCTCTTCTGGAAGAGTTTTTGCACAAGAGCGGCCGCTTTTGCACAAGATCGCGCCAGTGTAGACACAGCCCTTTGTCTTGCTCACAACACTCTAGATCTAGATGATACACAAACCTGCTCCAAGCTGCCCTCGGGGGACTGCGCTCTTTGTCGTATGCCATGTTACAAGTAGGGATGTAAAAAAATCATTTAAAAATGTAACACTGTTAACTGGTAAAAATCCTCACGGTTACATGTGCTGTAGGCTCTGCAGTATACATCTTATATATACTGCGAAGCCCGCAGCACAGTCAGCTCCTCGGGAGTGGGGCCAGCAGCCGATGCATAGTGGGAGCTGGCTTTTAAGCCATCTCCCAGCTCGCACTGGCTCCCAGCTCCTGGCTCCACTCCTAGGGAGCCAGCTGCACCAGGGGCTCTGCATTATAACTTTTATACTGCAAAGCAAGCAGTAACAACAGCTCCTCAGAAGCAGGGCTGGCAGCCCCTGCTGACCCTGTTCCCAGGGAGCCAGTGTGTAACTAACGAAAACCGATACGCTGATGTTCAGGGCTCACCAAACTGCGGCGAGCCCCGCTCGCCAGCCACGCTGTCCAGCGATCTGCACATGCGCAGATCACCCGAACCCAGCTCTTCCGGGTTACAATCTACTCACCATGGGCGAGTAGATTGTATTATTTGTCGAGCCCTGCTGATGTTTATTGGGTAGCCCTTCAAAAGGTTACAGTGTTACACCCCCAGTTACAAGTGATGACATTTTGCAGCTTCCTCTTTTGAGCCATTTCCCTTTCCCCCCATCCACTCTTGCCTTTCACCCCCCTTTCCCCCACATCTGCCCTGAATCCAGTGTTTAGCAATTAACCCTTGTTATTTTAATTAAATCTTCTTAGGAAAAGTAAGGAGGTGGTAGCGTGGTGTTTCCTTTCTCCATCATCCACTGCAGTGACCCTCTCTGAGCGCCAACATGACAGCAGTTAGGCCTGTGGTGTTTCCTTTCTCCACCATCCACTGGAGTGACCCTCCCTGAGCGCCAACATGACAGCAGTTAGGCCAGTCCTCCTTATCCAGCTCCTTTTTCCTAGATTAATCCTCCTGTTTTAGTCTTTGCAGTCAGTGAATTCTGTGGGTAGATATTTATTGTTATCATAATTTGTTTGCCTGACTAATGTGTAGGAGGCCTAGTTGTAGACTGAGACCCCCTTGTGGTAGGTGCTATACAAATATAGAGCTGGCAATCTAAGGAGGTATTTCAAGTGCCTTGTGTGAGCACATCTCAGTTACTGTTCCCATCTCTCTTCCTAGCATCTACCCCGTAGAATTACTTAGTCCTGGTCTACATTAATGAGGGAAGTTGATCTAAGTTACATTAGTTAATTTATGTAAGATGCAGCTTAGGGCGACACAGCTTAGATTTACTTATTGCAGTGTCTACACTGCACTGTTGATAGGAGATGCTCTACCATCAACTTATTGTCTTCACCAGACCCACTAAATCCATACCTGCTGCATGGATCACAGCAGCACCGATTTAGCCCATACTGAAGACAGGCTCATTCACACAACCTGTGAAATAATGAAGTCAATGGAATTGTGCCAGTTGACACTAGCAGGGCATTTCGCTGCATACATCTCCAGTCCATCTATTTTACATCATCTGCTGAGGACATTTAATCCTGATCTAGGCTAAATACGCCAAAGGAAGGCAAGAGGGGCATTGTATTTTCCACAACCCAGGCATAGTTAAGGTGCAGGGCTAATCTGTGTTGACCCCAGTATCCCGTGGGTGCTACAAGGCTGGGAATTTGTGAAGAAATCAGCCATGTCTCTGATTCTGGGGCCAGTTTTAGGACAGCACTGGTGAAGTTTGAAGCAGTTTGGCTGCTTTAGTCTGCACTAGTGAGCTCTGGCCCCAGAGGGCTCACTGTCAGCCAGAGGTCACTGGAGTGCAGTGTAGTCCAGCCACACCGCACAACCGGTGCCCTGCAGATCCTCTCTACCAAAGCCTGCACGGGGACTAGCATAGGAGCGGCTGTGAGCTCCCGGAGGGAAGGGAACTCCTCCCCAGAGGGGAGAGATCTGCCATCTTTCTGGTGCCTTTGCACCGGCCGGAGCAGGGAGGAGATGCTGGTGCACAGCCTGGGAGCGATTAGTCCTGCGGTGCCAGCAAAGCCTCATGGGAGTTCGTGATGTCAGAGCTTGAAATGGCAGCTCCCCCTGTGCACCATAGACCCCACGTCCTTCCTATTTGCAGGGCTCCAAAGGGCTTAGGGAGGCAGTGACAGGACCCAGCTGCCACCAGACACTGTCAGGGAAGAGCTGCATTTAGCACATGGCTGAGCAAAGAAAACACCTACTTTTGGAAGGCGAGAAAGTTCAGTTGAGGAGCATCGTTGAACAGCTCTGGTCTCACCCCGCTCAGCGCGCGGGAATCTTGGCAATTCAGTTCTCTCAGCCTGGGCAGGGACTTGAATAGGTCCGCATCAAGGCTCCTCAGCCGGGGCATCCTCGCAAGGTGGAGCGACCGAAGGCTGGCCACGTCCTGGGCCCACTTCTGCTGGGAATGACTGGAGCACTGTGCTAGATTGAGGCCGGGCCAGTCAGCAGACTGCAGTGGGTTGCGTGTCCCTGACAAACCAATGCTGGTTATTGCTAGCACCCCGGGTGTTTTGCACATGTGAAAAACAGGAAACAAAATGAAAAAATTCACCCTGCAGCAGCGGCACTTACAGGGCCGGGCCTGGCTCAAGGGTTACCTGTGCGCAGGGCGCTTGTGCGGCCGCTCAGGAGAAATTCAGATGCCGTCCAGCGGCTTAGCAGAGTGCCCACAGCTAGGTTTTGGTTACCCTGGTGGTGCACATTCACACATGCCTTACTGCATAAAAGAAAATGTATCCTGCACATGGATGGAATAGATTAGAGAGGACATTGCCTGGCTCCCCGCTCTGATGGTTGCAGCCTGGCTCACAGTGCTGCTTAGGTGTGGCTTGCCATGTGGGGGGCAGCCGGGCCAAATCAGAGTGGGGGTGTGATCCCAGGCCACAATGCTCAGAGGGAAGAGCTGGGCCCAGACGCGGTCCCTGTGCAGTGAGTACAGACTGGGCTCCAATCATCCCTCTCTCCGGTGCTCTTATCCCTCCCTCATGGGGCAGGACCCGACTGCCCCCCACACCTCTGCATGGCTTAAATGAAATTTAAATGAAATTTAAATGAAACTTAAAGCCAAGTAACATGAAATTCCTGAAAAATAAAATGAAAACACAAATGTTCCTGGGACTTGTCACTTCCCCAGCAGTTCAGCAGCCCACGTGTACCGCAAAGCACCCTCGCCCTGTGCAGAGAGCTGGACCAAGGGCTGGAATCTCCGCTAGGGAGTCCCCTTGACATGTCGCCCACAGCTCCTTTCCTTTGTGTTCCTCAGAGGACTCGAGCAGTTCTTCATTCCCTGAACCCCCCCCAGGTCAGGCCTGTTGGACCCACTAGATTGGCTGAAATGTTACAGGAGTCCGGAGGGGGAAGAGAGGAAAGCCGGGTTGTAGAGAGGAGGGATGGTTTTGTGGCTAAGAGACTCGATGGAGGAGACCGGCGTGCAATCCACGCTCTGTCCCAGAGTCTCCAAGTTACTGCCTCTCTGGGACCCAGCTCCCCCATTTACACGATCTTCTTCCCAGGGTCCTATCCTGTCTGTTTGGACTAGGGATGTTAAAATACGTTTCTTTTTGTAAACGTGTAACCACGGACATTTTCAACAGTAACACGTTTACACAGAAGGGCAGGTGGGAACTGGTATGTGTGAGGAGCCTGCACCCCACCCCATCCTCCCACTGCTGCCTCTGTGTGTGGGGGGGCGGGGGCAGGGGCTTTTTAAGCTGGCTTCCTTCAGCACTGGTTTCTGCCTGCCTCTTCCCCCTCACCTGGCTCGGTGGGAGGGAGCAGGGAGAGCTGCTTGCTCCTGGCAGCTCTGGCTGACAGTCCTAGAGATCCCCAGTGCTGCAGCTGGTGGCTGGGACACTAACGCTGGATGAGCATCGGTCAGGCCCCCGGTGTCCCACAAACATCTTCCCACTTACCGTTCTCGAGAAAGGTACCGCTCAGGTCCAGCACGTCAAGGGCGCTCCTGGCTCTGCGCGGGGTGTCCCCCTGCAACATGTCCATGGCAAAGGCCAGCGGGCGAATCCCTCCGCCACTCCCCTGCCCTAACAAAGTCATAGACAAGTTCAGGAACTGGAGCTGTGGATAACAGGAGAAAGCCAGAGGTGGGAGTTCAGAGAGAGGGTTTCCAGCCAGCGAGAGCCACTTCAGCTTTGGCAGATAGGCGCTGTGGCATGATGGCACCGAGGACAAGTTATTAGCACTTAGGTCCAGGTACTGCAGGCTGTCGAGAGCTTCCGTGCCCCACACAACTTCTCCGATGCGGTTGTGCTTCAGGGAGAGGGTACGCAGCTTTGGAACGTTCACTAGCTCCCTGCCGGTCAGCACAGGCAGGAGGTTGGCACTGAGATCTAAGGCTTCCACTCCCGCAGGTAGGCAGGCAGGCCAGGCTTCTAGGCTCTTGTTGCGCAGACGCAAGTTGGGCCTTGTCGAGTTCCTCAGCTCCTCGCAGGACACGCTGCTAAGATTAACGTCTTCCCAGTGGTCTTGCTGGCCCAGCAGGAAGAGAGTTGTGATGTTCCCCAGTGCGGCGGGGGCGGCTCTGTTTGTCAGGCCCGCCGCCGCCGCTTCCCACGCCAGCAGAGAGAGCATGAGCCGGAGGGAAAACATTCTTCAGCTTCCGAGGGCTCCCTGTTGAAATACCAAATCTGTTTTTCAGGGAAACAAAACAGCAGTTTGGAGACGCAAAGGCAAGGCGCTTCCGGCTGCCCCAAGTTCTGTGAAAGCAGAACACCAATAAATGTGCTGGTGTCTGCAGATGGGGCTGGCGATAGTTGCAGTCTCGGCTGTCATTAAAGGGCCATAAAGACGTGGTGTTTGGGAAGGAAGTCTCATTGCAGCGTATTGAGAAGTACACAGAACCTTTCATCCCAAAGGCAACCCAGGTGAGTCCCAAAGAGTCCCTATTATTATTCGGGGTGTTATCTTTCGAGCACCTAGGAGTCCCACTCACAGACTAGGCACCTGTTGTGTTAGGTGCTGTACAAACATACTTGCACCAGGGTCGTCTGCCTCAGAAAGGAAGATTTGGGGGCAGAGCAGCCAACCTATTGCTTGTCTACATGTGAAAGTTCGACCACTCCCTAGTGGGGAGACTAAGGGGTGTGAAAAATTCACACCTCTCTGAGCGATGTACTTAAGCCCATTTAAGTCCCCAGTGCAGAGAATGCTTCATCGGTGAAACAATTCTTCTGTGCGCCCTAGCTACCGCTTCTGGAGAGGTGGATTGGAGATAGCCGTGGGGGAACCCCTGCCATTGCTGTCTATCTACATTGCTGCTGGAGCACTTTGAAATGCAGATGCACCCTGAGGCTGTAAACTCTTTGGGGAAGGGATCCTCTTTTTGTTCGGTGTCTGTCCTGCTCCTAACATGCTTGGCTCCTGAGCCAGGACTGGCATTCCTAGGTGCTACCAAGAAAAGAACAATTTGTACACAGCAAGCTGCGTGAGTGGGTAATTGTGGCCAAAGATCCCGGGCAAATATCTCCTCTTATGTGACGTTCAATAGGCTCTTAATCGCTGCCATACAGAGGAGGCAGGAGCTTGCCTCTAAAGGTGCAGAAGTAAATTGTGTGCAGGGTCCTAACATCTGCCTTCCCCAGCCCTCTCCTCTGTGGTGCCTGCTCCTGCTCAGAGCTGGCTGGGTGTGTATGCTGCAGCCTCTCCTGCCCCCACCCTGCAGCCCCCCGCCCCACCCCCCTATCCCTGCTGTTTCCTTTGCAGCAGCTGCCAGAGGAGATGCAGATGCCCTCGCTAAATTCCATCTGCTGCCTCCCTGGGGCCCTGGACTGAGTGCGCACAAGAGAGCCTGTTCCACCGCCCCTCTGTGCAGCCTGCTCCTGGAGCAAGTGGGAAGACCCGAACCCAGTGACAGCGGCGATTGCACACGGCGCTGGCTAGCTCTGGGTCCAATATGCCCCCCGCCCACTGCCACTGTATCTGAGCAGCTCGGTCCTTCATGTATTTATGCCCCCAGCCCTGCTGAGTGAAGGCAGGACTACGGCCCTGCTGTAGGGAAGGGGAACGGAAGCAGAGAAGCTGGTTTCTGAACGGTTTCAGAAAATGCAGGCAGGGGCCTCGTGGCATTTTCAATGGGGCCGAACCAGGTTAAGGGCCTAACTCCCCTTGGATCATTTTTATATCGGGGGAGTGAGGTGACTAGGAGAATCCCACCAGACACTCATGTACCTTTAAACGTCTCCCCCTGAGGGATTAGCCCACCCAGGCAGGGCGGGGAATTGGATCCAAGAGTCTGGCGACCGCGGCTGATGCCCTCAGGGTTAGACTGTCCTTCCGGCTCTCCGGGTGCCTCGAAGCGGAGCCCCGGTGGCAGGGCAATTCCAGCCCCTTGCTCGGCAGCCCCACGGCAGGCCCAGTTTTGCTCTGAGGAATGTTCCACTGCTGCGGCAGCCCCCACACTGGGCCGGGCAGTCTCCAGACCCCACAGCTGGTCCAAGGGTTGGCTGTGGGTCTGCTCTCCCTTTGCCTGTGACTGGCACGGAGGTGGGGAGGGGTTATGCTTCCCCTATCTGCGGCCTGGCCTCAGCCTCTCTGTCCTCTGCCTCCCTCCCATCCCAGGGCAGCAAACACCTGTAGTGCCCAGGGGAGCAGGTGGAAAATGGGCCAAGCCCTGGCAGCGCCCACAGCCACTCCCACCCCCTCTGCCCCATCAGGAACCCTGCCCACCTACCTGCCCAGGCCTCCCGCTGGGGTCTGCGCGGCGCTGACGGCCAGGCACTTGCTTTATACACAGGAGTGACTCAGCTGCACAGTTACGTGCCTCCCTCCGTTCGCCTCTGCCTGTAGCTAGGGGAGAGATCTGGCCTCGCCTCACTCCCCCACATGCCAGCCTCCCTGGGGGAGGGGGCAGGCCCATTCTCCTCTCCTCACTCATGCCAGACGCTTTTCCAACCCCTCCTCCCCAGCCAGGGCTGTCCCTCCTCCCACCCTTTGAGAGGCAAGGAGACCAGTTTCTAAGCCCAGCTCCTCCTCCTCTCCCCACGCTGGGGCAGGAGGTGGTATTAGGCCTCTTCACTAAAAGGGTCAAGGCTCAGAAGGGCCGATGCTGATGCTTGTCTGCTGACACCAGCCCTGAGATTTCTCAAGCAGCAGATAAAGTGGTCCCCGCCTAGTTATATTTCTCCCCAGGAGCCTGGAGGCTCAAAGTGCAGCCCCTGGAATCAGCCACAGACGGCAAGCAGCTTTTCAGAGCAGCCTTCCCTGCAAGGAGGGCGATATGAATGTCAAAACCACAGTTCTCCTCTCAAGCGCCAGCTCTGGAGGGCTGAGGAACGGGGTTTCCCCCTCGCTGGCCAGAGAAGGGTTGAACCTATGTGGCCAGCAGACTGGAGCATTAGGAGCCGTGGTTCATTAATTATAAGGTGTTCACGAGCCCAAGTTTGCTGTCTGAGCTGGGGCAAGTCACTACCCCTGTGTTTTCGCTCTCACCTTTTGTCTGGCTTATCTAGCTAGCTTGTGAGCTACAGGACAGCATGTTTGTACAGTGCCTGGCACAATGGGGCTCTCATCTCAGGCGGGGCCGCTGGGCGCAGCTGTCATGCAAATAATAATCATTAGGAGGGGAAAAATCTTATAGGAAAGCATGAAGATTAGGATGAGGGAAAGCACAGGGTGGGGAACTCATGGTCCATGGGCCAATCTGGCCCCCTCCTTGCATGGACCTGCCACCCCTCCCCCAGGCATCGGGGAGGAACATTGCAGATTCTAATGGGAGCCCCATAAAATCTACTAGGCCAGGGCCCCCAGCCTCTGGTGCGCACGGGGAACATGGGCGTGTCTTTCATGTCAGTGAGGTGGTATTTTGTGCGGCCCCTGACTGATTTTTCTGTGGGTCAGTGGCCCCCGACCCAAAAAAGGTTCCTGACCACTGAAAGCACAGGACCCTAGGTGTGGCTGCAAGCCAAATAATAATCAAAGTGTTACCCACATCCCTCAGTGACACTGAGACCACTTACAGAGAGGAAGAATGACTTTGCTCTATAGCAGGGGTGGGGAACTTCAGGCCCAGGGGCCGGATGTGGCCTCCAGCTTGCCTGGATCTGGCCCCGCGAGGCTCCACATTGAAGAACCTGCACTGGCACTCCAGGCCCCCTGCCACCACCTCGACTCGGGTGTGTGAGGGGAATGTGGAGAGTGTCTTTCTCCTTCTCAGTCAGGGATTTCTCACTTTGCTTTTTGCTTGTGTGTAGCCCCCGACCCAAAAAAGATTCCTCACCCCTACTCTATAGCCCTAGCTGAGAGCCAGCTGGCTGTTTCGCTCATGTGGTAGGTAGAGGCTCATGCACTAAGCTTCAAAGGTCGCTGGTTTGATTCCACCTGTCAGCCTTACACAAGCAGTGGTTGTGTTCTCTTTGGAGCCTTTGCTTTGCCAGGACAGTCAGACATCTGTGCATGGTAGCCCCCTCTCCTCCGTGCTAAGGCTTGAATCCAGGCACTGCTTTTCCTACAGACCTTGACAGCATGTGCACACACAACTTATCCCAGGCCATGCCATTCCCTATCTGAAGAGGGCCTGGAAACCTAGCAGAGCATCCAGAGACCCGAATGCTGATCTCTTCCTGGGACTTTTGGAAGCCATTGTGGTTTCAGGAGCAGTAGGAATGGTTCCCTTGTTGACTATGGAGTCAGATGGCTCGGTTCTAAGACAAAGCAAAGAGTTTGCTGACCTAATGCCTGGTCCTGCTGCCTTAGTCACACAAGTATAGGTCTGACCTATACTACACACCCATGGTCAGTACAACTATGTGGCTTGGGGTGTGAAAAGTCCACCCCCTCTCATGATGTTGTTATACCAACCCCCCGCCTCGCAGTGAAGATTGTGCTGTCCGCGAGAGTGCTTCTCCCATTGGCACAGCTGTTCCTCTCAGGGAGGTGGATTAACTCCTGGGATTAATTGATGGAAAAGCTCTCTCCTTTGGCATTGAGCAGTGATGGGCCACTGAGGCTAGTGAGGGCTGCAGGGTTGAAATCAGTCATGGGCACTGACCATAACCCCAAGAGTAAGATTAGATACACTACTACCTGGCAGGCTGAATATTGCAAAACAAGTAGAAATGCTTTAATCACTCATGTTAATAGAACTGTCCTTAACTTCAAATAGTAAATAAAAGGAAGCATTTACATTTATTTTACACGACAGTATCAAATCCCAGCTGTGTCACGGTGTTCCAGCTCTGAGAGGGAGAGGGAGGAGCAGGGACGGGGTGTGAATCAGCTGATTCATGGCCCTCCGAAGTGCAGGGAGGGAGGGGGACGGGCTAGGTAAGTGCAGGGCTCTCAGTGCATGAGAGGCATGTGGGGGAAGGAGACAGAGAGGCAGTGCAGACCACACGTGGAACCCCGATGGGCCGTAGATTGCTCACCAATGGCATGGAACATTTTTGTTACATAGCTACAGTGGCACACCTGGCCCATGCAGCGTTTGAAGTGTAAGACTTACCCTCAGTTCTGAGGGACGGCTCGCTTGACCTTCACACAACACGGTAGGAAACAGTAGCTCAGCTGCCCTAGACTTGCCTCAGCTAGTTGATCACTCAATGTAGGATTTGCCAAAACACTCGCCATGGGAGCTGAGTTAGGCCCGTGCGTAGAGCTCATGGAAATGCCACCTTCATTGCCTTAAATGCAACTTTTCTTTGGACTTTCCTCATCTCCAGACGCCCTAAAGACAGGGAGATGTACTGTCTTGGTCCTGAGCCATGAAAACCTTCTGGAAAATTTGCAATCTTGAGCTTAGTATTTATGGGTGTGACAGGGTGTACCAGCCCCTGCACTGGGGGTACTAAGCCTAACCAGGCTCAGCTAACATGCCCAGCTGGGCATGCTCAGACTGCAGCCCGGGTATGAAGGCCTGGAGAGAAGCCCAAACTGATCCGGTTGCAGAGGAGGAAGGCAGCATTGCCTAAGCTCCTGGAGGTGACCAGCCTGAGACACCAGAGATAGGGCCAAGGATCTGGAGGGAGTAGCCCAGGGCGGGAGATTGTATGCTGAGGAACTCAGCATGTTGTGTTGGGATTCCCTGCTGTGCGAGCAGTGGCCCATGCCACTGCTAATAGGGCCCTGGACTGGGACCTGGTGGAGTAGGGAGGCCTGGGTCCCCCTCCTCAATCCCCAATATGTGAGGCCTGCACCTGATGCTAAAGCCTTTAGGCTGCACTGCCCCAGCGAGAGGGGGGTGGGTTTAGAACTGCGGTTGAGTTACAGTGCATGTGTGGTTGGGGTGTGGTTACAAGAATCCCAGGGATACAACGGCTCACCCTGGGGGAGGGATGAGTGCACCACCCCATGACAACGGGTAATGCATCCTCATGAGAAAAATCACACTTCAGCCTCACGTCACACTCTAAAAAGGCTGAGACAAACTCTGCCCCCACTTCTAGCTCAATCCTCCCCACTGGTTTCATGCCAGGAATTTACCCAGGCAGCATTTCAGGAGTTGGAAAAACAGCAAAGTAAATAGCAACAGGGCCATTCAGTTCAACCAGGGTAGAAATGAACAGTCTTGCCTTTTATTTTACGGACCTGATCTTGAAAGGCTCTGAGCACTTGCAACTCCCACCAATGTCAATGGCTTAGCACCTTACCCAGGCCCAATTCGGAAAGACACCGAGCATTTTCTGTAAGGTGCTGAACGTCTTCCTCAGTATTTGCCTTAGCCCTTGTGAGCATTTTGGATAGTCAGCTCTCCAAGGAATGGAGCGTGCCTTCCCATACGCTAGCACAGTGCCTAGCACAATGAAGCTCTGATATGACCATTAATAAAGAGCTAGTCATACTGATGAAAGCTACTATGCACCATCCTATTGCATTCCGGGGAAGTAGTAACACTCTTATCTCTGCACCCCTACTCCTAGCTGGCTCTTTTTCTTTCCCTTCATACATCTGAAGAAGTGAGTTGCAGCTCACGAGCGCTTATGCCATCATACAATTGTTAGTCTTTTAAGGTGCCATCGAACTCCTTGTTGTTTTTATAAAGAGGCTGCAAGTTCCGGTGTGTGTCTGTTTCATCCACCCACTTTCACATATCACCCTGCGTGGGCTATTTCTTTAACATTTCCTCCAAATCTGTACCAAGGCTTCTAGTGACAAGGCAAAGGGAATGGTTAGGATCTCAATCCAGGCCATTTTATCAGGCCTTTTTGCACAGACTGTTTTCACAGCTAAAACCAATCCTACCTCTGCTTCTCCCTTGATCTGAGTGAGTCAGAGATCTTATTGCCCGAGTAGGAATGTTTAAGATGAGGCCTACATTCCTTAATGACACCGTGAGATAAGCAGACAGCAGGAGGGAATGGTAGAAAGAGGCGATGGTACCAGGTTGTAAAGGCTCGGAGATGAATGTTCCCACACCAGGAAAGCAAAAAAAAAAAAAAATTATGTGAACCTGAGATTGGAAGGATCCAAAAAACCCCTGAAGAATTACATCAAGAAACATTTTCAGGACAGGCCGGTCAGCCCCCAGAGCGAGCTCAAGCAGTGCCTTCTCTTACAAGCAGGTACCTAGTTATTTAGCCTCTGGTCTAAATAAGCCAGGAGTTCTGTGCACTGCATTCTGTTGGCCCTATGTATGCCTGAGAGGCCAGGCCCCTCTCCAGTGTAAATCTCTTTTGTGGAATTCCTTGGGAATCGGAGCAGGCCCTGGCGACGTAATGTTCTACCCTGGTCTGATTTAGCTTTGTGACATACCGAACAGGGTGGCAATGGATTATTTAGAGCCAGAGTGCTACTTCCATAATGAATTTTGTTGTCCTCTGGCCAGCGGGTCTGTCTACATTCTGTCTGTGATGGCTAAACTCTTATTTACATGGAGTTTCTCTTTAAATTCAGGGCTGGGACTTTGTAGACACTTTTGACGGAATAGCTCCACTACCTGCATGGGTTTGTGCCTGCTGCCGTTACGCTCTTGAGGAAACCGGCTGCTATCAGCCAGCAAACATTGACTTCAGTGGGGCTTTTGCAACGAGGGTGTGTGGCACAAGAGCGGAAATGCCAAGGCACACAAATGGCTGGTGGGTGGGTGTGTGTGTGTGTGTGTGTGTGTGTGGCGGGGGGACTAGCAAAGCAGTACCTGCTACAGTGTAGGTTGCAATGCAAAATGAGAATTGTAGCTGGTCCAAAAACAGGCCACACTCACGCTGGCCCCCCACAGCTGTTAAAACAGATGGCAACACTTGGTCATGCTCAGGGTGCCAGAATGGGTGGGTGAGGGGTAGGGAGCCCTCTGCTGTTTACTGGGTTAGCACACCAGCAAGACGAATGCTTGCCAGATAACCAGTTAACCTTTTACATCCCTACTATAAAGGAAAAAACAGAGGAGCAATGTCCTAGGAGCTCCGAGATGAGTATACAGGGCTGTCCTCTCGCATCAGAACAATGCCACTGTTTGAACCATAGCGAAGTATTAGCAAGAGTGTGAAACATGTTGCGAGAATCACAGGTCCGATGATGAATACCCAAGGGGGGGAAGGACAGAACCAGGTAGACAGTTTTATCAAATAAAAATTATTTATTTATGACTGGTGAATTTATAGTATTTATTCTAAGATTTTTAATAGACCGTGTTAATAATGAATTTACAGTATTTATTATATTTATTCTATGGTTTCTAGTAAAACATGTCAGAGTTATAGGGATGGGAATGGCAAGGGGAATAGTCTCTAATCTTAAAATATCCAGCTACAGTAATTAAATAACAGTGATAACTACAAACTCTTATGTACTACCCAAAAACAACTACAACACTAAGCTTATACAACAAGAAAAAACAAATCATACATACCAACTTACACAGCACACGGTACATTTCACAGACATCGGTTCGGTTGCAAAGGCCTTGGTTACGCCCGAGAGTCGGGGGAGGTGGCTGGTCGGTTGATCAGGCCGGCAGCGCTTGGAAGTATATGAGAAGGCACACGCACGGTGGTACGTGTGTTGCGAAGACCTCTTAGAGCGAACTGTGCCATGGGTATTTATCCCCAAATCTGCACATCGCTTTCCTGCGCTTGCATATTACCATATATGGCCCAATGGTCACCAAGTGGGGGGGTCTGTGTCCCAGGGTTTGGGCTGAAACTGTGCAGGTTTCATGCGACCAGGTAAGCCCTGCAGTTCTCACGCCAAGGTGATGGGTGGCAGAGTCATGCTATTTTCCCCTTTTCCACCTTCCCCTTTTCTAAAGGCAATGGTATGCAGGAAGGGTGCGGCCGGTTTCTCTCAAGGAGTCAAGAACGGCCTGGCCAAACTTTTTTACTGGGGGGCAGTTTCTTTTCTCTAACAAAACCATGAACGCTGAAGTTACTCGTGCGTTCGATGTACAGTGGAATAAAACTCTGGATTTATGTAAGGGCTGGATCAGCAGCAATGGGTTCCAAGCTGGGCTAGAGTGGGAAAAGTTTCAAAATCTTACCGCACAAACATTCATATTTACACAGCCTGCCACGCAGGGCCTGGCGGCTAGCTGCAGCTTTACCACGCTGGGGGAACATGGAGGAGCTCCTCACAGAATGAGCAAAGGCAGAATCCTTCTTCGAAATCAACAGCCTGCACCTTGAATCACAAGATCGGTTCTTCAATTGCCTAGTGAGTGCAGGCATGCCTGCACTGCTGCCTCCCTGGGTCCGCAGCACTGTGTTGCCTAGCGGCTAGTGCGCTGAAACGACCATGGTTCTATTCCTGGCTCTGCTGGGAGACCTGAGGCAAGTCCCATCCCTCCCCTGTGCCTCAGTTTCCCAATCTGATAATGACATTGACTTCCTCTGTAATGTTTTTTGAGATCTAACAATGAAAAGAAAGTTACCATAGCTACGATTATCATTAGCAGCTCTTGTGTAGGCTTTAAGTAGCATGGAAGGCCTGGTACCGCCCCTCTGCACCCGGAGTGAATTTCACTAATAGAACACCATTGGGTCGGACTTTCCTCCCACAGAAAGCTAAAGCAAGGGGAGCAGTGGTGCTAAAAGAGGGAATGCTCCTCTTCCTCTCCCTGGTGTGGGTGTATAATGCACCTCTACAACTCCCCCTCCTGTTTCAAGTCACTTGACCTCCTTCCCCACCCCGCTCATACACTCCACTGTAACTGAGAGAGACTGGAGTAAAACTAGACCAAAGGAGAGAAGAACGAGGCCCAGCAGCCCGAATAAACACCACCTAGCAAGGATTTTGAAGTGACAAGTAGGGATGTTGATTGTTAACAGATTACAGTTAACCAATGGGAGCTGAAGCAGACCCTTGCCCACCCTGTTTAATTGATTAACTGGCTAAACTTAATGTTTAACAAGTTAATTAATTAAACTGGATTTTACATCCCTAGTGAGAAGTCCAACATCTCAGGATGCACGAAATCTCAGGTGTGTGAAAGTAACCGAGGGGCTCGGTGCCGTATTTCCTTAAGTGTATCCATGGCATTTAACTTGTCTGCATGGATGAGTGTACCTCAATTTGCCTGTCCCATGGTCGAGCACTCTGTCAACAGTTGAACATTTCAGGCCTGATTTAAAATCCCTCGGAAGTCAGCATGGGCCTCACCACTAACGCCGCTGGACCTGTCTGTCCAACAAAGAAGGATTTTTTTTTGCAGCGATTGTGAATAGTATGGATTTGATATCCAAAGCACTCAGCATTACGGATTTTACTACCAACGTTCCCACAGGTAATTTTGGTCTCATGTTAGATAACAACATAGAATAATTTGCCCAGAATTTAATGTCATATTCATAAAATAACAAGGGAGCCCATTTATAGGCTTATGTCAAGTATTAATAGTGGAGACATAGCCATTAACACAATTTGAACATCACAATTCAAATAGTTCCCAAAAGATTCATGTTTAGGTGCCAAGATTAATATCTTTATGCACAGGAGCGGTCTCTGACTTCATGCTTGTGAACAGTCCAACTAAGGCGTTCACTGTTTGCAGGGCTGTATCCTTAACTAAAACTCAGGGACTGATAGTTCTGTGTGCAAGACAGAGGACTAGAAGGACCATATTATGTACATGCCAGGCAGTATTTTGTTCCAGTACTACAGACTTCAAATATATATTTATATACCGTTAGCTCTATTCATCCTGCAATATTCTAGAAAATGGGAAGGCAATGCCAGTTGCACAAATGTGTAACAGAAAACAGGACGTGTATCCCAACACCCTCATGTTCTGTACAGGATACTAAAATCAGTCATCTAAGTTAAACAGGAAAGAATGTTGACAGATGTTTCCCAATCAAGATAAAGTGAATCTTCGGTGACATCTTCACGTAGCATAAAAACCACCAACCAAAGGAGTCTCATTTCCCTAATGTTGATCAAGGGTAGGCTCATTCCACCTCGGTGACCTCAGTTTCAATATGTACCTCACACAGTGGAAGCATTCCCTGCTCTGACACAGGGTGAAATACTCTGTCTGTGTTGTTCTGTCAGTGTACAAACATAACCGTGTAGAGGAAAAACCTTACATAGTTTCTGGTCCTTTTTGCCAGCACAAACCAACATGGTTTCACCTTATTCCTGGCCACCAGTTAATTTATGAAACAGATCTTCATCCAGTGTTTCATTTTGGTCTTTAGAACGAGTTGACAGGAAGATGTAACCCCCAATGTATTCATGGACAATCTTGCAATCTGCACTCAGGCATGTGAAAGCAATGGAGACATTCTGGTCAAACTCAATGGCGACCTAAAGAGAAAAGGCACAGCAAAAGTCAGTAATGAAAACAAGCAGAGTCATGTCTGTACCTATCAGCACATGAATCTTTAGAATAGACTGAGCTCAATAAACACCATCTGGACGATAAATACCTACACACATACATGGCTGACACTGCTAATAAAAATGGTGTGGGAAAAGGATTTTGAATCAGTAGTATGCCTTTCTCCCCTCTGTTCAGCTAGGGCCCTCTTGTGGTCAAATCTCACTTCAATGATTTTGCAGGTCAGACAAGCAGCCATTCTGCAGAGCTCTCCAAATAAGGGTTTCTCCCCTCTTCTTTAGTTGTATTTTCTCGCCCTCCTCCTAATGAGGTGCCCTTTTCCTACAGGCTGGTATATCAATGATCTCAACTTAGCATCATACATGTTCATTCCTTGCCATGGTCCATTGCGGTCAGTCATTTGCAGATGCTAACTCACGTTCCTGTGGTTAACTGGTGCCTTTATGAACAAAATTCTTCCTCTTACATTCTGTTTTCAGTTTCCCAATACTTGGACTTACCGCTGGACCGTTTCTCTGTGCCAAAGTTCAGAGACCTCGTGCCTTATGCTAAGTGCTGAAGCTAATGTTGACAAGGGTACAGGGCTGTAGGTTCCCTGCATTACTTCTAAACATAAATAAAGGCTGAATATAATGAAAGCAAGGCAGTGGATATGTAATAAAGGCAAGCTAGCCTTACAGGCTGTAAGGAAGATAAGCTTTCAAGCTTCAAAATGCTCTGTGTTGCTTGAAAGCTTGTCCTTCTTGCCAACAGAAGCTGGTCCAGTAAAAGATATTACCTCACCCATTTTGTGCCCCTAGTATAATACCATGTCCCAGAAATGGATTATTTAATGAATCAGGCCAGTTTGGGGATTCAAAATGATCTGCTGAAAGCCTCTTCAGGGGATTGAAATGTAGGAGCCGGACACGAAGAGCTGTTCAGATTATACCTGACGTATTTCCCAGTTCACGTTCCACTGCTTCATACTGGAGAATCTCCACGTTGTGATCGGGTCCCCAGTGGCTGCATCTATCCTGATCAGCCGGTTATAGGAAACACCCAGAAGATCATCTTTCTTGCTTCCTTTAAACCTGGGGGCATAGGGAGAAAGAAGCAGAGTCATTCTGCAGTGTGTTTCCCTAGTGAGGCAGTTCACTTGCCCCTAATGCCAGTGTGGCAAAAAGTGGGAGGAGCCTTCCCGTGCTTTTGCACAGGTCAATCACAATGCACAACCACCAGAGGGAGCACGAGCAACACAAGATGTGGGAGCAATAGTGGGCTGGAACCTGGGGAAGTTTGGCTCCTTCTTGCCTTGCACCCTGCACTGCAGTCAAGAACATGGCTTGGTAAAACATGGCAGTGCCTATGAAAATACAGCAGACGACTGTACTCTCATGAGAATATGTATATACACAACCACCACCATGTCAGAGAAATCAAGGAAGATGGTATGAAAAATACAGGGGAAAAAAGCTTCAGGAAGTTGAAGGCTACTATCAAATCCCCCCTCACTCTTCTCTTCTGCAGACTAAATAAGCCCAAATCCCTCAGCCTCTCCTTGTAGGTCATTTGCTCCAGCCCTCTAATCATTTTGGTTGCCCTCTGCTGGACCCTCACCAATGCATCCACATCCTTTCTACAGTGGGGGGCCCAGAACTGGACACAATACTCCAGATGTGGCCTCACCAGAGCCGAATAAAGGGGAATAATCACTTCTCTAGATCTGCTGGAAATGCTCCTCCTAATGCTCTTGGCTACAAGGGCACACTGTTGACTCACAGCTTCTCATCCAATATAATCTCCAGGTCTTTTTCTGCAGAACTGCTACTTAGCCAGTCGGTCCCCAGCCTGTAACAGTGCTTGGGATTCTTCCGTCCCAAGTGCAGGACTCTGCACTTGTCCTTGTTGAACCTCATCAGATTTCTTTTGGCCCAATCCTCCAATTTGTCTAAGTCACTCTGGACCCTATCCCTGCCCTCCAACATATTTACCTCTCCCCCTAGCTTAGTGTCATCTGCAAACTTGCTGAGGTTGCAACCCATCCCCTCATCCAGGTCATTAATAAAAGACGTTGGAAAAAACCGAGGCCTAGAACCGATCCTTGGGCCACTCCACTTGAAACCAACTGCCAACCAGATGTCGAGCAGTTGATCACTACCTATTGGGCTCGACAATCTAGCCAGCTTTCTGTCCACCTTACAGTTCATTTATCCAATCCATACTTCCTCAGCTTGCTGGAAAGAATATTGTAGGAGACCATATCAAAAGCTTTGCTGAAGTCAAGCTATAGCACATCCACTGACGACCCTATGTCGACAGCCAGTTACCTCATCATGGAAACAAATCAGATAGGCCAGACATGACTTGCCCTTGGTGAATCCATGTTGACTATTCCTGATCACTTTCCCCTCTTTCAAGTGCTTCAGATTGGATTCCTTGAGGATCCCCTTAGTGCAAGAGCCAGCTGGCTCTCAGCAGAGGTTGTAGAGCAAACTCATTCTCTCTCTGTGTAAGTGGTCTAATTGCCACTACATGGGAGAGTACACCACACTCTGTAGGTGTTACATAGACATGGAATATGGGATGTACATTCTAGGTTTTTCTTTTCTTTTTTTCTCTAATTTTGCTGGACATTTTGGGGAGAGGAAGTGTGACTGTGTGGTCAAAATTCTGCCCTCATATACGTGTATATCCCCACCGACACCTCACGAAGACACAGAGCAGCCTGAGATAGATGCTGTGAGGCAATAGCATCTAAGAGCAGAATTGGACACTCTCTGTTTGGCCCCAGCTTCCAGCTGACAATAGAGAGCTGGAGGAGCTGACCGTTTGCCATTTCAATGCCTATCGTACATAGTGAGAACACAGAGGAGGAAATGATGCTTTTTCATCTCTAATTTGTATGACTGATTAAGCCTAGTTTACGCCTATTGGCATCTTACTTCAGTCAAACGCATCATAGTTTGTACAATGCCAAGCCCAATGGGGGCACGACAGGGCTTCTAAGTGCTACCACCTAATAATATTTCTCTTACTATTTATTATTTGTATTACCATAGGCCATACGAGCCCTAGTCCTATGCCAGAAGCCCACCGTGTTCCATGCTGTACAAACCCAGAAGAAAGCTGGTCCTAAAACATTCAGGTATCCAGAATGCACAAGACCCTTTAAAATAAAGGGTGAGAGCATATTCTTAGAATGGGAATCAAAAGAATCTGAAAACCACTGACCAGGAAAACAGCAGGGCAGCGTGACATGATTACCTTACAATGTAGTATGTTAAACCAAACTCCGGGAGGGACTGCCACGCCTGGATAAAGCGCAACTTGGCTTCCACTAGCGACATTTGTGCCACGTTTTGGTGAGCTTCCAGAATGCGGGCGGCCAACTGCGAGAGAGAGGGAGAGAGGAAGATTTCAGAAGCTTGTGCAAAAGTTCCCTTTGTTTTCCTTAAATAAAATAGTGTCAGCTCCAGGCCATGTTCAGACACAAATGGCTCAAGATGGAGCAGTCACTGCTCTAAGTAAACAGGGTGCTATAGCCACTTAGGCTTTGTCTACGCGGCGGCTTTTGCATATTTTTGCATGATTTGCATAATTTATTCAAGCCATTTTTGCACAAAAACAAGCATTGTGGACTCTCTTTTTGCACAAGAACCCCATTTTGCGCAAGATCCTTATGCCTCCTCGAGAGGTTTTTGTGCAAAAAAAGTCCATGCTGCTTGTTTTTGCACAAAAACAGCTTGAATAAATTATGCAAATAAAGTGCAGCAATATGCTAATCTGCACTTCATTTGCATAGGCACTACTGGCAAAAGCCTCAGTGTAGATGTAGCCTGAGGGGCAGATCCTGACCTGTGGCCTTGTTCTGCTCAGGAGAGACGGAGGCATAATGGTAGCTGCCCAAGGCTCATTCTTTGCTGCGCTGACCCGTGCTCCAGCATAAAGCAGAGCAACCTCAAGGCTGCTCTACTTCATGTTGCTACCCACCTCCTCTAAGGAACATTCCATTGCTGGACATGGCTGGGATGTTAGGAGGCCCTGGCAAAACCCCCTGCCTCCTGGCTATATCCCCAGCACTGCAAGCCAGGCGTCGGGTGGTATAACGGCTCCTATGGTGGTTGCTGGTACTCAAAGCATGTGGGATCCTTGTGAAGCCAGACCGGCTGCATTTGACTGCTCTGCCTTGTGGGAGTGGTGCAGGGCAGTCGGCGTGCCCAGAGGGAATCTGGCCCTCTGTTAGCTTCCCAGCTGTGTAATTGGTATAATATGACTCCGATCTCAGCAAGCCCAGAGCGACGGCTCATTCCATCACCCTGCACTGCCGTGGGCCAGCGATTCCTTGGCTGGCTCACTTCTGGGTCTGATTCTACATCCTTGTTTTCACCCGGTGCACTTCCCTGTTCCCACTTTGTGGGCGAACCCAGCACTGCTGCTACCCCAACTTGCCCCTCCTGACGGCAGCAGCCCCAGACATGGAACGGAACTGCTGTGTGCAGAGTCGCTCCTGAGCAGACCTGCTGAATACACTGCCCCGGAGCCTGGCAGAGCACCGGAGAAATGGACCCTGCTCCCCTGCTGGGGTGGGCAGATCAGGTTTAAAGTCTGAACAGCGAGAGGGAGCGAATGAGAGAAGCAGGCTCCATACTGACACGGGACCAATGTCACTCCTTCATGCCCATTGCAGTCATGGCTCTGAGCAAACTCTTCTAGGGCCTCACCACTTCCCCGGTGCCTCCTTCTGGGGCGGAGGCTGCTGGCTTTGGAGGCAGAGGGATGTCTGCAGGGGACTTGCGGGTGAAAGCCAAGTGTTGAGGGGCTGTCTCTGTGCTTGTTTTAAAGAGACAGGCCTCTGCTTAAACCCTGAGGAGGAGAATTATTATTGTGGCCAGGAGCTACCCGAGAGATTTCCCAGCGCCTCTCTGAGCTGGTCTGACTCTGGGCTGCATCCCACAGAGCATCAGAAGCTTGTCAGCTCTCCTTTCCCAGGGTCAGCCAAACCTCAGTGGAACCAGCCTTACCTGTTTGGACTTATATTTTTTGGCATAGCGCGGCGAGACAAAGCATTCCGGTTTCATGCCCATGCTCTCTGGATCAGAGACCACCTGCGGAGACATGGGCCGGTTCTTCATCCTCAGGAACGAAAGGATGTTCTGCACCTCGGGCTGGTAAGAGCTGTCTGCCATCGTTTTGCCCTTGGCCGCTAAGTTACAAGCAGCCATCCAGAAGGCGTATTGATTTTCCTGCAAGAAAAGCCCAGTCATTTGAAATTGCTGGCCAAAGTCTCGCTGTTTCTGGTTCACAAGCAGTTTGTTGTGACCATTCAGCACCCCAGTGGAAGCTGTGAGTGTTTAGTTTGGGCGCGTGGGCACGTAGCAGTGCTGCTCTCTGATGGGGTGAGTGACTCAGAATCAGTTTCCCAGGAGACAATTCTCTTTGAAGTCCAAAGCTGCTTCCCGGGAATATTCTGGGTTTGTTGATATTCCTGCTCAGTACGACATGCACAGGAGGCCTGACACTATGAAATGACTAGCATCTGTAGCTCCCAGTGACTTCAGTAGCAACTGTGAGTGCTTGGCATCTCTGACTCCCGGGCATAAACAAAGCAGAAGCAAAATCAATGTTTTATCGAAGTAAATATTTGTGGGAAACAATTCTGATACATTCTCCAGCATTGGCTACTGAGCCCAGTGAGCAAAATAAAGTGCTTTGGAATAAAGCCAAGGGTTATTTTCCATGGAACTTTTTATTTTTTACTAGAATGAATAAAAAATTCTTAATGACACATTTTAATACCATTGAATTTAAAAAGACCGTGTTTATGCTTTTGTGCGTGTGAGAGAAAATCACGCTCATGTTTCAACTATCTTCTCTACCTCTTACTTTTCCAGTGGGGGAAAAAAAAACATTTTCATGTCTTTAGATATTTGTCACCGTGCGTGTATCTGTTTCAAATGGCTCTGTGTAAATAAATGCAAGAACTCTGTTTTCACCTGTCCACATGCAGCATCCTGTCTGACACATGGATTGTGAGATCTCTGGGGCATCTTTATTTAGCTCTACAGGGTCTAGCGCAGATGCTTGATTTGCCTTCCGTGGATGCCATAAGAATAATTTAGAATGAAGAATGTGTCTTGTCTCTCTACTCACATTATCACATCTCAAATACACTTCATTCATGCCATCAGCCACAGGAATTAGTAGTTTAATTCCAAATTTTCTCCCTGCTACGTTTACATCTGGTACAACCTCACATCCTGAGGGATGAAAAGAAATGAAAGATACATGTATTTAGTTACCACACCTCTGGTGGTAACTATTCTAGCTGTGGAAAATTGATGTTTTGGAGGTCAGTGGCCAAGATTTTCAATCATCAACCCAAAGCAAGGCACCGAAATGACTAGTCTGATTTGCAGAAGTGCTGAGTTCCTATAGCTCTAAGAGCATGCAGTTTGTATTGAATCAGAAGAATATGACCTGGGACGTACAAAAGATATTTGCAATTCTCTACATAGATCTTAGTAACAGCTTAAGGTAGCACTTACATGGCATAGAATAAATTTTCCAAAAGCTTTTAAGCCATTTACAAGGCTAAGGATCATTTTCAAAAATGACTAGTTTTGAAATTGGGTCTTTGGTACTTTTTGGAATTTTTACCCCAAATCTTCCATTATTAGCAGTTTACTTTTTCCAAGGTCAGGGTTGAGAACTTGCCTTAACACCCAGTATAAATATTTGGAAACAGAGGTGTTGCATATAGAGGGTCTGCTCTTTATGGCTTTGAGTTGTCTCAAAGTCCACTGAGTTCACTGGCCCTTAGCATGTTGCAAGACAGACCAGATAGGTCAGGGACACCTCTTTTTGGGTTAACACAGTTTGTCTGGGCCTCCTTCTGTCAATAAAACCTGTGTGATCAGGCCCCAAATACGCCAGTTATCTGTAAATTGATGTAGCACTAAGCACTGCCATCGTTATCCTTTTAGTACAGCGTTTCTCAAACTGTAGCAACTTAGAGGGGGGGTCTCAGCTGAATTCGGTTTTTCACTTGCAACTCCTCTCCCGCAGGCCGCAAAGAGTGGCAGGGCAGTGGAAGGCAGCCGTGGACGGGGCTGTGGGACTCCAGGGCTGTGTCCAGACTCAGGGTTTTTTTCGGGAAAAGTAGCCTTTTCCCGAAAAAACTTCCCCTGCGTCCAGACTCAAGCCGCGTTCTTTCTAAATTAATTCGAAAGAACGCGGCTTTTCTTTCGATGGCGGTAAACCTCAATTTACGAGGAAGAATGCCTTCTTTCGAAAGTTCCTCTTTCGAAAGAAAGCGTTCTTGAATGTAAATAGGGCTTCTTCGAAAGAGAGCATCCAGACTCACTGGATGCTTTCTTTCGAAAAAGCAAGCCGCTTTTTCGAAATTTCTCCGCTGGGCCGTGAAGAGCGAGGGGGCAGGAGAAGGCAGCTGCCGGCAAGCCGCGCAGCGTGGCCGGGGTCGTGGGACTCTAGGAGAGTGGCTCAGCTGCAGGAAGAGGCAAGGTGGCGGGAGAGTGAGGCTGGCGCTGGCGCAGGAGCAGACGTGCGAGCGGCCGGACGGGGTACGGTTGCCGGGAGACCAAACGCTTCCTCAGTTGGGGGAGGGCTGGGGGAGTTGGTCGGGGCAGAGGACCCGGAGGTAAATAAGAGCATATGGGGGTCAGAGGAGGAAACAGAGGAGACACAGGAGCTGAGCAGAGCCGAACCAAACCAAAGGGTCGCGGAGCAGAAAAGAGACACAGAGGAGAAAAAGATGGGGGGAAGGGCGTTGAGGACTGCAAACACCTTGAAGGAACCCCAGGAGGGCAAGGAGTCTGGTGAGAAGGGGGGAGGAAGTGACCCACAGCAGTGGGGGGGAGTCACACAAATTCATTTATCATTTTAGGGGGTCGTGTTATCACAAAGCTTGAGAACCCCTGCTTTAGTATATAATTTACAGTGAGTTCTTGACTGATTGAGTCTTACGTACTATGAGTAAATATGATACAAGAAAATCCTACCTTTTAGGTTTAGCTTCTCAATGGGTTCTCCGTGCCCAGATTCCTTGTTTTTAAAATAAGATATTGAAGTGTCCTTAAAGACAAACCAATACTGCTTGAAGGCTTTCAGTGTTAGCTTCTTGGGCCTACAATTAAAGAGGACAAGGTTTATGGCATAAGCAGCAAGCTACGAATCATTGGGCCTTAGGCTGCTCTGAGATACCCCAGTATAGATCTTGAGAAGCTCCACTGAGGTAGTTCACTCGCTGGCTTGAGAGGAATTACTCATGATTTGCACCTAAGTGAAAGAAGGTTCAATCCCCATTGTGCAGAAGAACTCCAAGTTACCTTGAAGCCCAGGTATGGTTAGACCTAGAATACTGATTAAAAATCCACCTCTAATCAGTCTCTTCTAAAAAGTCTATATGAGGATTTGTCAGATAAATATGCCATTGCTACTACAGAGTATACATTAATTCCGATTCTCCTCCATGGTTTCTGAAGCTTTTTCTTTACTAGAAAGTTGCATCAGTTTGACTAAGTTGATCGATACCAGTGTTTCTTAAACTTGTTAAGACTGAGGAACACCAAACACTAATTTGTTTTTATGAGGAACACCAAGGATTTTTTGTTGAGGGGAAAAAAAATGGAGGGGGGCAGGGAAAAGTTATTGACCTCCTCCCCCCCCCAGAAAAGGGGGAGAGTTATTGACCAGAAACAAAAGTTGCCTGACTCTTTAAGGGCGGCCATTTTGAACTGTGTTCCACGGCACACCTCCGACTGCCTTGCCGCACACCGGTGCGCCACGGAACACAGTTTAAGAAACACTGATCTATACTTAGATTGTCAGATCTCTGGAGCAGGGACTGTCTTGTTTGGTGTTGTACAAATGCCAGACACAATGGTGTCTTGGTCTTTAACTAGGGCTTCTACGCACTGCAATAATGCAAATAAATAATATTTTAAATCCATCTAGTTAAAATTGTGTAAACTGCTCATGGAGAGACACTTAAAATTAATTTAGCTCAGCTTCAAACAGGTTAATCTATTTTAGTATTTTGCCAATGCAAGCTAAACATCTTAAACCAGTTTAGCTGCATCTGCATTAGGCAGGAGTTGCAACTGTTTAACTGAGTAACATTTTCTCCAGGACTATCCACAACTTTGTCCAATGCTCGTCTTGTATATACTGGTTAAATCAGAAGGAACTTCATGGGCAATCTGCTACAGAGAGGAGGATCAAACCTAATGTATGTGAAGAGACAATGACTATTTTAAATTAAAAACATAATCCATTTAAAATACTATGGATTTTAGTCATGAAACCCTTCTTGTCCAACTATGAGAATCATTATCATTCTTTAAACATTACAGAATAGTGCTGTGCACTTAATACAAGAGCTCGTTGGGAAATAAGAATTTTTCCATCTAGAAAATGTTTGACTTTTTATTGAAAACCCCAAACTTTCTTTGGCAATGGATAATATTTGGTGTTCATTTTTTTTCCAACAGGACCTAAACCACAAAAACAGTACCAGCATGTATTGCAGAGGACAGCAGACATCAGCTGTGAACACTTTTGGTTAGTTAAAAACCTCAGCTTTCCAAAGAAGGAATTTGGTTAGAAAAATTTCAACCAGCCCTGATTACTCATTTTTTAAAAGAGTCCAGTAGTTCTTGGGCTAGATGGGAGTGAACTCTCTAACATTGTCATCCTTATGAATATAAATATTTCCCCCCCAAAACAACGAGGAGTCCTGTGGCACCTTAGAGACTAACAGATTTATTAAGGCATCAGCTTTCATGGATAAAACCATCTGATTAAATGGATTTTACCCATGAAAATTGATGCCCTAAAAAATCTGTTAGTCTCTAAGGCCAGGTCTACACTAGATCTGGAAAGCTGAGTTAAGGTACACAATTCCAGCTATGGAAAATATGTAGCTGGAGCCGGACTGCCTTAAGCTGAGGTTTGCACTGTCTTTACAGAGGGAGGTCTATGGGAGCAAACACTCCAGTCAACTTCTCTTACTCCTGAAGTCTGGGAGGCGTATGGCCCCCTCAGCGTTCAATTCAGCGGGTCTTAATTAGATTCACTAAATTGAGCACCAGAAGATCGGTCTCCAGCGCGGCAAGTGAAGACGTGACTTAAAGACCTACAGGACTCCTTGTTTTTGCAGATACAGACTGACACGGCTGCCCCTCTAAGATTTTGTTTTCCCAATATGTTGCAATGACGCAGACTGTGTTTCAACATAAAGTATGCGAATGCATCTGTCAATGCAAACATGTTCAGGTTTGTAAAATTGTGTAACAAAGCAAGTATTACTACTATGCTTGTAAAATAATATTATACATATAATCTGGTTTTCATAGATCCTTTGACATGCCTTTGGTTTATTGTGTGAATAATAACATTCTTAACAGTTAAAAATAATCACTGAAAGCTGTCTTCCTGTTGGAAGAGAAGTGGGAGGACGGGAACAAACAATCCATTACTAAAACTAAGATACTGACAGAAGTTAAAAGGGTTGAGTTCACTTTCATCTTAACACACGTTGGAAGCGTCACGATGGTTGAACTGATTTCTTTGTTGGAAATTACCTGGAAATTTTCATATGTAAATATGACAGCTATATGCCGCAGGTTTATCTGAGCCATTTAGTAAGTGAGGTCAGTTCAGAGTGATTTGTCAAGAGAATGAAACTGATAAATAGTCCTACAATAGAAGACTTTGTTTCTCTAATAGCCAGGTTCCTTTGAAACAAGAAATGTTATAGTCTTACAGTTGCTGTGATGTAGCAACTTAGTACAACAATCTACTCATCACCATTTGAAATGTGATGACTGAATTGTGCTTTCCAGATTGTTTCTTGTGCAGATTACATGTTATTAGTCTTGCCAAAATTCATTTTTTCCCAATTTTAATCAACATAAATGTTCACAGGTGTGGGGAATGATAGGGGTTCAGATGATAAAGTCAGACATTAATTAATGACAATAAATATTTAGCTGTTATAAAATTTAACGTTTTAATCTAACACAGATTGTCCACATCACATGTCAAGACATACAAAGTAAATAGCCTTAATTCCAACTCTAATAAGCTCTCAAAAGTCGACCTTTACCAATAAAAATCTAATCCTTTGAAGGCATGCTATTATAGACCTGATTTACCACAGCATACTCCTATTTCAAACTGGAGTAACTCCATTTAAATCTGGCCCCAAATTTGGATTACTGTTTCTAATCAACTGTAATACATAGGTGTTTATGATTAAAAAAAAAATCAGACATAAGAGTCTGAAGAAGTTTTTTTTTTCTCCTAAGTTTTCAATTTTAGAGAGGCAAAAAAATACAAATGTTGTGTTTGATTTATTTTTCAATTGTGGGTTTTGTAAAAAAAAGTTTTGATGGAAATTTTCAACTAAGTCTGTTATATATAAAGGAGCCAGCTCACCAACAGATGTAAATCAGTGTAACTACCTTAATGGCAAAAGAGGTACACTGATTTTTCCAGCTCTTCATCTGGTATAAATATCATGACCGGGGGGGGGGGGGGGGTGCCCAGACTTATTAGCTATTTTCACTGTTCATTGCTATCCTCAAAATATTGTTTGTCCAAATGATCTCTGAGTTAAAGACAACAAAACTGAAGGAATCTTGACATGCATAAGTTTGCTTTTTGCTTCATCTTTCTGTATTTACTCACCTAAATAGCCTGAGATTGTCTGCAAGTTTCGGTATGTCTGTAATGTCCTCCTAAGGAGAATCAAGCATCATTTTATTACAACACACTTCCTACACAGCTGTCACACCATTCAGATCCTGCTTTTTTACCAAAATTTTCAAGACAGAAAGCTCATATATTTACATAAGAACGGCCGTACTGGGTCAGACCAAAGGTCCATCTAGCCCAGTATCCTGTCTGCCGACAGTGGCCAGCACCAGGTACCCCAGAGAGGGTGGACCGAAGACAATGATCGAGCGATTTGTCTCCTACCATCTCTCTCCAGCCTCTGACAAACAGAGGCCAAGGACACCATTTTATCCCCTGGCTAATAGCCTTTTATGGACCTAACCTCCATGAAATTATCTAGCTTCTCTTTAAACTCTATTATAGTCCTAGCCTTCACCGCCTCCTCTGGCAAGGAGTTCCACAGGTTGACTACACGCTGTGTGAAGAAGAACTTTCTTTTATTAGTTTTAAACCTGCTACCCATTAATTTCATTTGGTGTCCTCTAGTTCTTCTATTATGGGAACTAATAAATAACTTTTCTTTATCGGCCCTCTCCACACCACTCATGATTTTATAGACCTCTATCATATCCCCCCTCAGTCTCCTCTTTTCTAAACTGAAAAGTCCCAGTCGCTTTAACCTCTCCTCATATGGGACCCGTTCCAAACCCCTAATCATTTTAGTTGCCCTTTTCTGAACCCTTTCCAAGGACAAAATATCTTTTTTGAGGTGAGGAGACCACATCTGTACACAGTATTCAGTATTTGATTTCAGTGGGAGCAGGCTCAGGACCCCAAAGGACATACCAAAATGCTATCCGTTTTTCCACCTTCCAGCGTTACTTCCAGATTGGAAAGTGCGGCCTCCACTTCATCCACTTCAGATTCACTTGTGAAGTCTTGCGCCTCGGATGATAACGACAACTTGCTTAGATGATACTGTAATAAAATAGAGAGAAATGAATTGCAAAGGCTAGTTTATTTGGTGACAGACTTCGACTTCTGTGGAAACTCCAATTTAAAATGCAGAGGTTTTATTTACTAGGAGATTTACCTGGCATTGCTTGAGTTCTTAACTGAAATAATTTTTGTATTTCTTCATTTGAATCATTGCTGTGGGCTGGGGATGAGGGGTTCAGTATGAAGGCTGGCTTGGGGAGAGAGGACTTCATAACCCAACCCTCTCACAGAAGTTGGGGGCCAGGTGGAAAGCATCTCTCCAGGGCGGCTGAGCTCCAGCAGGCCCATCTGGGGGAGAGGTGTATGTGCCCCAGCTCCGGCAAGTCCAGGTTCATCTGCCCACTGTGCTCCCCAACCTGAGTGAGTCCCACATGTTTCACCTGCCTTGTGATTCTGTCTCTCTTCTGTATGGTTTTGTTATGAGAAGCAATCCCATTTTGGGCACATCCTGTTTTCCTTGCACAACCAAACCCTGACCTTGGTTTAAGTTATGTTAAGAGGAATCTGTATACTGAATTGGGTGGTCCTAGCTCTTAACGTGTAGATGGAGTTCTTGAACAGACAGACAGATGCACAGACAAAATCTCTCAAATATATAGTGGATAATTTGTGTTGCCGTAGTCTCAGTCATGGGCCAGAATCTAGTAGTGTTATGACCACAATGCTATTCCTTGTGCTATTTACTGTTTTAATTCAGTTTTACTTTATTGCTTTGCCCACATTTTCAGTTTTCAGTGTGCTGAAGATTTTGATATTGTCAAACTATAACTGCATTGTAGAAACCCTCAGGGGATAAAAGTGGGATTTGACAGCTAGTAAACAAAGCAGCTCCTGTCTAAAATCTCCATCTGAATGAAGCCATTTTTAAAGGCTTCTCTCTAGGCAGCTGATACTGAAGTAGAAAGGCTTTCTGAAATGGAAAAAAGATAGCTCTGATTCAATGTGACAATAGTTGCTTTACAAATTGTTCATAAATGGATACATAAGGCCTATGCATTACATGTACATTGTTTTAATCTGATCATAAAACATTTTACAGAACCCAAATCAATCAACCCCTGCAGCCACACTAAGCAGAACTACAAACAACTACTCAAGCAGATGAATTAGCCATTATATTCCTGCCCTAGCTTGTGTCTGCCCCTCTTGAGAAAACCGGTTTTGCAACCAGGATCAAGTACATGCCTGCAATGCAGCGAAGATCAACATTTCTTCCTCTGTGCAATCGATTTCTTCCAATAGGATAGCCCAGCGGGCTTGCTCATAGAGCTGGTTTATTCGCACTGCATCATACTGTAAGCAGAGAAGATAAAATGTTGCATTAATTCACATAGGAACTCCTCGACTGGAGAAGGTAGTGGATACATTTCCAGCTCCATTGAAGCCAAGGGCAAACTTCCTGTCGAATTCAGTGAGGCCAGGAATTCACCCAACATGTTTTAATTGGATTAGAAAGCACATTGTTATTTATCTAAAGCGCTTGAAGGGAAACAATTCATTCACAAATGGCAAACAACCAAAAACCAAAGGGCAAGATTCTCAGCTGGTAGAGTTACAATTTACAATGGGAACTTTGCTGGCTTACACCAGCTAAGGATCTGGCCCAGAACTCAACTTACTGTAGTCTTTGTGTAAGTCACTATCAATGGAAATGCAAAGAACTAAGGGGTACGAGGAATGTAAAATCCCATTTTATCTGTTAACTGGTTAAACATTATGTTTAACTAGTTACCTGCCTAAACAGGGAGTGGCGGGCTGGAATGCCCTTCCTACCTCCCTCGTCCTGGCGAGGCTGGAGTGCCCCTGCCCACAGCACACTGTTGTGCCACGGACGAGGGCTGTTCTGGCTGGGCCGGGGCTGCTCCAGACCACCAGCTAACCGGAACCAGTAAGCATCACCCGGTACAGGTGAGGCTTACCGCTAACTGCTTACCCATTCACATCCCTAAGGGGTACGCTTATCAAAGCACTTACGTAACTTTAGGAGCCTAAATTCCAGTTTCAAATGTGACCTTGGCATTTAAGAGTCCCATTAAAAGCAATGGGACTGAGGTTCCCAGGGGAATTTCAATGGGTGTTCAATACCAAAATAGCTTTAAAAAAATCTAACATAAGAATGGCTGTACTGGGTCAGACCAAAGGTCCATCTAGCCCACTATCCTGTCTGCCGACACTGGCCAATGCCAGGTGCCCCAGAGGGAATGAATATAACAGATAATAATCAGGTGATCCCTCCCATGTCACCCATTCCCAACCTCTGACAGTAGCTAAGGTCACCATTCCTGCCCATCCTGGCTAATAGTCACTGATGCAGCTAACCTCCATGAATTTATCTAGCTCTTTTTTGAACCCTGTTAAACTCCTGGCCTTCACAACATCTTCTGGCAAGGAGTTCCACAGGTTGACCATATGTTGTATGAAGAAAAACTTCCTTTTGTTTGTTTTAAACCTGCTAACTATTAATTTCATTTGGTGATCTCTAGTTCTTGTGTTATGGGAACAAGTCAATAACTTTTCCGTATTCACTTTTCCCACACCAGTCATGATTGTATAGACCTCTATCATACCCCTCTTAGTCTCCTCTTTTCTAAGCTGAAACATCCCAGTCTTTTTGTAATCTCTCTTCATATTTTGTTGTCCTCTTCTGAACTTTTTCCAATGCCAATGTATCTTTTTTTGAGATGAGACAACCACATCTGGCCCGAAGTCCCTTTGAAAACGAGAACTGGGCCTCTAAGGGCTTTGCCAAATGTTACTCTAATTACTCTTGTTGTTCAAGTTGAGAAAAATGCAGGAAACCTACTAGCTCTTTGGAATGCCTGATTATTTCTTTTGGTGGCGTTTGGCCCAGGCCTTTAGAGTTAAACATATCTTTGGGCCATATCTCGGTGCTTCCACCTCAATGGCCCAGACCCCGGTTGGGGCAACACAGCGTGGTATGACTCCCTGTTCACAGAGTGCTGCACATGTCCTGGATGAGGTCAGTCGCCTTGCTGAGTTGGTGCTGAGGGGCTGGAATCTTTAGTGTCTCCCAGAGGAGGCAGGGGATCAGTTTTGGAGATCCGGAAAGGGGGAATGGAGAGGAATAGTCCTCTGGGTTACAGCTCCTCTGCTATGCAGGGAGGAAGGGATGAGGAAACAGGACCTCCAGAGACAACCCCAAGAATGTACTTGGAGGAGCACAATCCTGGAGACACAGCTCTGGCCTCTCCCATGCTTCTGGCCTCTGGATGCCACCCAACTCCCAGCAAATCCAATGGGAGCCATTCCACTATGGAGCAGGATCAGGCCTTTGGAGAGGGGAGCAGACCAGGATGTGCCAGCAGCCCCATGGGGATCACACACTCAGGGCGAACTCTTAGTTGACGGATCTGCAAGGAGCAAAATTCCCTGATTGTGAGACTTCCGAGCCCACGGCCCCCCCGCTGTCCCACCCCACTCCAAGGGGCTTGTGCAACCCCGGGACACAAATGCAAGCAAAGAAAGAGAAACAACAGCCACCAAGTGTGGAGAGGTTCTTACTTTTGGATTCAGATCAAAGAAAGAGTAGTACTTAAAGCGCAAGAGAAGCTGATCGTCTTCCTGGACACCTTGTTCCATAAGCGATCGCGATGAATCCAGCCAGCTGGAAAAAAAAACAAAGTCAAAGACAACTGTGCCAAAAAAAACCCCACCATACATGAAGCTACAGAGTAACGCTGGAATGGACAATCAGTTATGGCTCCCAGAAGCACAGACAAAATTCACAAGCATGCTGCGTTTTTGCATAGGCGTTCATTTATTAAAGTGCTAGCCCATTTATTCAGCATTGCCCAGTACGGCCAAAACAGAGCTACTCCAAAATTTCTCTGTTTTATCTCTTTCTTCTAAGGTTTATTGAGAAGCCATCCTATTGCAGACTCATCCTATTTTTCTGGCTCATCTTGGTTCAGTCTCTTCAACATTCGCTCAGTTATGTCAATTGTGACAACTGTACTTTCTTTGGTGAGTCTGTCTCTTTTCTGTTTAGTACTGTGAGAAACAATCTCATTGCCCGCACTTCCAATTTTCCTGGCACAACCAAACCTTTACGTTGCTTTAAGATATCAGAGGAAGCTGCATACTGAATTTGGTGGTCCTAGCTCTTATGGTTTAGGAGGAGTTCTTGATCAGACAGACAAACCCTTTAAAATATACAGTAGATTTATAAACAACCAATAGTCTAGCAGCACCTTAAAGACTAACAAAACATGCAGCCGGCATCATGAGCTTTAATTGGCGCAACCTACTTCTTCAGATGACTGGATTATTAAAAGTCCAGATCCAAGAATAAATAAGGGAAGGTGGCAGGGAGGGTGGAGAGGAAAAAAAGAGAAGAAAAACAGTGAATTATATTGTTCAAGTTACAATAGTCTGATAAGAACAATTTGTAGATTTATATGCAGAAACACACAAACTAGCAGGCTGGATCAGACCTCATGTCCACCTAGTACACTACGCTCTTCTCCAACAGTGGCTAAAACCAGCTGCTTCAGAAAAAGGTACAAGAAACCCTGCAGTAGGTAATCTGCCATCCCAGAGAAGTTTCCTTCTGACCCTATTAGTGAGATGTTGTTTAAGCCCTGAAGTATGAAGATTCCTACCCTTTCCAAACCTCTTACTTATTATTTTAGTGTTTGCTATTATAACTCCAGCTACTCAACATCCACAGACGTGTCTAATTACATGTTCAACCTCTCAATTCCAGCACTCTCTGGAAACCAAGGAACCCCAGCCCTATACCACTGGGGAGCCCTGGTCAGGTAGAAAAAGCGTAAGAGAATCAACAAAGCATTTATGAGATGAGAACTAGCTTTCCTTAAGAAATCTCACAGCTAAGCACAAGAGCAATGTTTCCTGTGTTGCATTTCTTAAAAGGCTGGATTAGTGCCGATGCTGCTAAGCAAGTTCCCGTGCTGAAGAGACGCATCCTTACCCTGCATTACGTTTGGCTTTGTCAGCTAAGGTCCGAGGCTGGTACATTTCAGCCAGTGTTTCCGGAGAATAGTTGGGATGGCTGAAGGCAAGGATGCTGCAGTTGGGTGCAGCCAGAGGGCTGTCCCTGAGCCACGTGACCGTCGAAGAGACTGGTGTTCCGTTAACAGGATCATACATGGGAGTCATGGTTTTACTATATAAACCAGGACTTGCTGCAAGTTAAAAACAATCACGTATTATTGCAAGGTGGGGTGGGCAATAAAACAGTGGTGGTTCACCAGGATTAGCCCCTGGCTGGGCTGCCGCCACTATATTTACCCGCTCCTCCAAGAGCTGCAATCAATGGCAGCAGTGGCCTGCCAGAGGCTAACCTTGGGGAACCGGATCTGGTCTGTGGGCCAGCACCGCTCACCCCTCTTACAAGGGGAGCTGGCAGTGACCGCGAGTTTTAGCCTGCGGATACTTTCTGTTATACAGGTTTCTAATCCTTTTTTCGGAGAACACCCTCCCACCTCTGAAGCAGGCCTTAGCTATGTGCCAAGGGAAATAGCCTCAGGGTTGAGAAGCACGGTTTTGTTGTCCCATAAAATTCCAGTCAGCTTTGGCGAGGTACAAAGGGCTATCCATCGGCAGTTCCATTCTCTCCCTTGTAGCCTGTTCAGAACCACTGACCGTTCCACCGCTGGGCTCACATGGCCAATGCAGCAGCAGCAGCAGCCTATACTGTTTGTAGAGCCGGGACCTTCCTCCGTTACCCTTTGGCTATGTCTAGACTGGCATGATTTTCCGCAAATGCTTTTAATGGAAAAGTTTTTCCGTTAAAAGCATTTTCAGAAAAGAGCGTCTAGATTGGCACGGATGCTTTTCCGCAAAAGCACTTTTTGCAGAAAAGCGGCCATGACAATCTAGACGTGGTTTTGCGCAAGAAAGCCCCGATCGCCATTTTCGCCATCGGGGCTTTTTTGCGCAAAACAATACCGCGTTGTCTACACTGGCCCTCTTGCGCAAAAGCATTTGCGCAAGAGGGCTTTTTCCTGAACGGGAGCAGCACAGTATTTCTGCAACAACACTGACAATCTTACATGAGATCGTCAGTGCTCTTGCGGAAATTCAAGTGGCCAGTGTAGACAGCTGGCAAGTTTTTCTGCAAAAACAGCTGCTTTTGCGGAAAAACTTGCCAGTCTAGACGCAGCCTTTATGTTTGCGTGGGTCTTTTACAAGCACCGGGACAGATTTTTTTTTAAATAGGAAAATGATTGTGAAACCATAAACACTGGCATAGAGGCTCCAGGGTTGGGCTAGGACCTGAACCTACTTTCAGATAGTTGTTTAAAATGTGGCTAGATTTCAAGCCAAGTGTCCCTTTGACTTCTGCTTCCCTGCACACCTGTGTCTCTCTCTGTGTTAGTTGCACAACATGAAGAACTCAGAGGGCAGCCATGTTAGTCTGTAACTTTAAAAACAATGAGCAGTCTGTGCCACCTTAGAGACTAACAAAAATGTATACCTAGGATCATGAGCTTTTGTTGGGCAAAACCCACTTCTTCAGATGAGCTTTAAGAACTTGTCCCTCTCCGTGGTCTGAAAATAAAGTCATCTGGATTCATAGAATCCTAGGGCAGGAAGAGACCTCAGGAAGTCATCGAATCCAACCCCCTGCCCAAAGCAGGACCATCCCAGCCAGGGCTTTGTCACGCCGGGACTTAAAAACTTCTAGGGATGGAGGTTTTTTTTACCTGGTGATCCTGAAATCACTGGGGAGTTGTACAGATTTAAAATGTCTTCTATGACTGGTTCTTTGTTATTCTTGTCTTTTTTCTTTTTCTTTTTCAAAGTATCTTCCGACTGTTTCAACAGAGAGAGTTCTTCTGACCGTCTAATATCTACAACGATAAGTGGTGATATTCAGGCTATGGAAACTTACACGCTAGTGGCTAATACAGACCATATATGGGAATGTCACTTAGAATTCCAATCGACTACAGGGAACTCCTCCTACTTGTTCTCCAACCCCAGCTGTTGTGCCGTATCCTACCACACAGCTCCACGGACTGGGAGGAAAATCTCTTCCCAAATTCAAACATGAGGGGTCTCATTGAACTTGGTAGGATCCCACTAGGAGGCTCGTGGAAGTGCTGAAATACAGCTGCAATCAGAGACGAAGCATCACTTACTGAGGGCTTTGCAGATCTCACTGACAGCCTTGAACACCACCGAGGAGAAGCTGACCTTCAGCCGCACGGTCTTCATGTTTGGCAAGCGGAGGCGCAGCATCTTGTGCTGTGTTGTAAAGAGCAGCTTGGCATCTGCCTGCACCCCGCATTTATCCAGCGTCCAATGGGTCTTTAGAAGCCAGCACTTCTTTTGCTCCCACCAAAGAGCATAGTTTGACCAATCCCGTGAGATTTCTAGGGAAATACAAAATAAGGACACGCAAAGTACGTGATTAGTAACGAACAGTAAAGCTTTTAACCAGTGGGCTATTCTAGTGTAGGGTTCACTCAACCTCTCTTATAGCTGTTGTTCCACTTTAAGACAGGTTCAACCTCTCAAGTCCGGACTCTCCGGTCCAGCAACATCCATGCTCCTGTAGGACCATGGGTGTTGCGGGACCAAAGAGCCTGGCCTTTTTCCAGCAGCTGCTGGGAAACCCCAGTCTGGGAATCCCCAACCATGTGGGCTTCAGCAGGCCAGTGGCTGGAGACTCCAAGAGCCGTGGCGGCCAGGAGGAGCAGCAGGCTGAGAGGCCAGCAGCAGGGGACCGTCCTTGGTCCAGCAAAATCTCTTGTTTGAGACGGGTCAGGTCCCAAGAGTGCCGGAACAGGGAGATCCAACATGTAATTAAATAATAATTGGGGCAGAAAAAGAGGGTAGCAGGTTTAAAACAGGGTGGCAGGTTTAAAACAAACAAAAGGACTTTTTTTTCATGCAGCGCACAGTCAACCTTTGGAACTCCATGCCAGAGGAGGTTGTGAAGACCACGACTTTAACAGGGTTCAAAAAGGAACGGGATAAATTCATGGAGGTTAGGTCCATCAATAGCTATTAGCCAGGATAGGTAGGAATGGTGTCCCTAGCCTCTGTTTGGGCTGGGAATGGATGACAAGCGAGGGATCATGCTGTTGTGTTCACTCCCTCTGAGGGCATCTGGCCTTGGCCTCTGCTGGCAGACAGGATACTGGGCTAGATGGATCTTTGGTCTGACCCAGTGTGGCCATTCTTATGTTAATTCTGCAGCCTAGTGCACACCCAAGAAGGAGAAGAGATCTTGGCAGGGAAGGACTTGAACTAGGAGTCTCCCACAAACTGCAGTGAGCACCCAATTGACTACAGGGAGCTCCTCCTCCTTGTTCTCCAGCCCCAGCTGTTTTGTGTGAACTCAGCCTGAGGGGCCTGGGAGGTACGCTCAGAGGCCGCCTACCAGACTGGACTCCTGAATACCTCTCTCCCAGTTTAAGAACAGCTCTGGGACTTAAGCAGGAAATAGGCATTCAGATGCCTCTCGAGGCGCCAGCGTGCACCCTCAGGCAGGAGACGGGCACTCAGTGCAAGGCTGCAGCGTACACACCCTGAGAGAGAAGCCTGAGATGCTAACAGGTTAGGGACTACAGCAGTGGTCCCCAACCTTTCGGGGCTGCCGGGCGCCCGGGGGTGGGACCACCCATGCACCGCACTCCTGGAGCCGGCGCTGGTCCTGTGCCGCATGCCCATAAGCCATGCACCCGGGGCTGCTGCCGCTCCTGTGCCACGCGCCCAGGGGTGAGGCCACCCATACGCCGCGCGACCGGGGCCGGAACAGCCCATGCGCTGCATGCCCGGGGCCAGCGCCACTCCTAGAAGCCCAAAACACAGAAATGTTTCAGTTTTTAGGAACCAGAACCTGAAATGTTTCTATTGTTCAGGCAAAAGTTTTTAGGTTTACTGAAAAATTTTGCCCAACTGGCTGACATTTTTCAGGGTTTGGTTGCCCAAAAAACAAATCATTTAAAAAAATGGTTTTCAGCTGCCAAAACTTAAAAAACCCAATTTCTGCCTTTTTGATAAAAAATTGTGTAGAAAAGTGTTCATGAATGTGACTTCTTTGTTTGGTTTGTTTTCTTGGGGCAAAGGGTAGGAGAGGAGAGAAGCATTTCCTGACCAGCTGTATTGCTAGGGTAAGTGGTGCAGAGCTATCACTAAAAAATATGATTGTAAGATACTGCCAAATTGCATTAACCAGGAGAGATAGCAAAATATATACAGCTATATGTTAAACATTTAGGTCCACTCTGCAAAGAGATTTGAAACTAAAGCAAGACTAATTCCAATTAGAAACAGTGAGGATCATCAGAAGCAAAGTGCCATGGGAAATGGTGGATTCTCCATCTCTGGAGGTCTTCAAACAAAGACAGGACGCCTTTTTGGAAAATATGCTTTTGACAGATCTCATTGTTTGCACTGGAATCAGGGTAATTGGATGAAATATAATGGTCTGTTTTACATCGGCAGTCAGACTAGATCTAGATCCTTCTGGCCTTAAACTAAGAAGCACCTCTTAATTTCAAACAAAAATTAAATATATATTGAACAAAGCAAATTCATTTGCTTCCACAATGTTATAACATTTCAAGAGGACAGAGTCACTTAATATAGGGCCTGTTGCTAAACATGTAGTTCACATGGTTGATTTCTTTTTATTACATATCACAAATAGATGTCCGTGTTCAGCTAAGCCGGAAAGGGGTGGAGTGAAGGGAAAGGACCTTGTGACCCTATTATTTTAGCTTGAGTTCTGAAATTACCCTAGCTTCTCCATCAGCAGCTCAAGGCTGAAGAGGATGTGGTTGCTCTTTCAGCTATTACAAATGAATGCAGTGACTTCTCTTCAATAACGAGTCATCCTGTGACTCCTTAGAGCACGTCTACACTACACAGAAGATAGACGCTGCTGCAGTCAATCTTTTGGGGTTTGATTTAGCGGATGTAGCATAGACTTGCTAGATTGAACTCAAAGGGCACCCCCATGGGTACTGGGACTCCTATACCTTGCAAGGAGTAAGGGAAGCCGATGGGAGCATTTGCTTCTGTTGACCTCCTGCTGTGTGGACAGGGATTCAGATACATCAACTCCAGCTATGTAATTTACATAGCTGGAGTTGCATATCTTACTTCAACCTTCCCATGTAGTGTAGACCAGGCCTTAGAGACTAACAAAAATATACAGAATCATGAGCTTTTGTGGGCAAGACCCAGTTCATCAGAGGAGTTGGAGTAGAAATAACAGAATCCAGGCTATATATAACAGCAAAAGAAGCACCTATCAATTGTAGGACCCATGTAAATGAAACTAATTAAATGGGCTGAATGGGTCCCATTCATAGCTTTTGATGTGGAAATGCAGATGTCAAAGGCACAGGAAAATGCCTTTGCAGTGCGTTAGCCAGTTACTATCTTTATTCAAGCCCAGGGTAACAGTGTCAAATTTGTAGATGAGTTCCAGTTCTGCAGTTTCTCTCTGTAATTGGTTGGGGGAAATTCCTTTGTAGAAGAATGGCTACTTTTAAATCCATGACTCAGTGACCAGGTAGGTTAAAATATTCCGCTATATAAAGATATTCTGGAAAAGAAACAAACCTCTTGGAAGTGTGTTTGATGGTGAAATGCCAGGGTGTGTGTAAGTGTGTGAGAATTCTTTGGCATTGTTGTGTCAGTTGCTTGCCAGAAGAATCTGACTCAGATAGGATGGCATTAGCCCTGGTCTACACTACAGAATTACTTCAATGCAACCATACTGTGTGGGGGTGCGAACAATCCACACCTCCTACATGACGCTGTTTTACCGACCTAAGTGCTGGCGTAGGCAACAATATGCCAGCAGGGAAGCATCTCCCAATGATATTTCTCCAACAAGAGAGAGTAGCTAAGCTGACAGAAGAGTTCTCTATCATTGGCTTACAACATCTTCACCACAAGTGCTACAGCGGAACAGCCGCACCACTGTAAGCCGGTGGTACAAGAGGCCTGCCTGGAATTACAAGTCACAGAGGAGGTACAGAAAGTTAATCATCTGGGCATGACAGCCCATGCCCTGGACTGGGCAGGTTGAGCAGAGAAGGCAGCTAACACTTCAGTTGCATGCGGTAGTCATAAAAGCAAGACGGAGAAGTCAGAATAATGAATGGGGTAGTCAGATAACACCTCTTCGGCACCCAGTGCTTTACTCTCCAGCTTTTCTAAGTGTAAAGAGTGAAGTGGAATACCTAGGAATGCGTACCTCACTGCATTCACACCTGAGTAGTATAGACAGTCCCTGCTCAGCAGTCTGCAAGAAGGTAACCAAAGGCTGCTAGCTCTGAAGCACAGCACCCTGGGAAAGAAAGAAAATCACACTCATGGGGCGTGTGGGGAGGAAGTATCTGCCTTATGTGAAGTCCAGAGACAATGACATTTAGAGTCAATTTTTTTTCCAGGTACAGTTGTATCCGGATGCTCCTTCCTGCCTTGAATGGATTTAACTGCAAGATCAGGGCCCTGGGATAATTATTTTGGGAGGCACTTACTCCAGCGGAGGGGAAACTGGATTGAGACTCAGGAAATCTGGATTCTATTCTTGCCTCTGCCACTGACGTTCTGTGGGACAGACAGCAAGTTACTTCACCTTGCTGCCCTTTATTTCCTCTTGAACATTATGTCTGCCTTGTCAAGGAAGGAAGGGCTGGTGGGGGAGAATCTAAACACATAATTTCCATAACCGCAAGCAATTTAACTCTCTCTCTCTACTCACTGATTTGTTCTACTAATTTAAGCATCACTCCACCAACATGCAGGTCTCCCGAGACCCGAAGTGTAAATTCCTTTTGCTCTTCTTCATACTGATGATCGACTGTGACAATGAGCTCCCAGGAACTGGATCCATATTCGTTTGAGGAAGTCATCTCAGCCACTTCTGCTGCGAGTTCTACAGCAGAAAAGACATTATAAATCAACCGCTGATCAAAACACTATGCATTTAAAAACCAACATTCAAGAAATAGTCTGAATTAAGGCCCTGAAGTGGGCAATAGCTCAGAGAGGGGAATGGCTGAAATTAAGCAGAGTCATGAGCATTTATCTCCTCCCGAATCGGCTCCAACTGGATTTGAATGATTTTAGCCTCAAAGTCAGGAGATACTTCTTCACAACAGGGGGAGTTTGGACCAGCAAAACCCAGCTCTGTTCAAGCAAGCTTCCGACGCCCTGAAGCAAACCCACTGATCGTGACTTGACAGACGTTCTGGTTGTAGGCTGTGAAGTTTCACTCACACTGCCTATGTAGACACATAAGACAGAACTATGTAGCACTTTAAAGACTAACAAGATGGTTTATTAGGTGATGAGCTTTCGTGGGCCAGACCCACTTCCTCAGATCAATAAGTGGTACTGATCTGAAGAAGTGGGTCTGGCCCACGAAAGCTCATCACCTAATAACCATCTTGTTAGTCTTTATAGTGCTACATAGTTCTGTCTTTTGTTTCAGCTAGACCAGACTGACACGGCTACATCTCTATCACTATTCTCTATGTAGACACATGAATGCCATTTGATTTCACGCACTGGCTCCGTCTAGACTGGCATGATTTTCCGCAAATGCTTTTAACGGAAACGTTTTTCCGTTAAAAACATTTGCGGAAAAGAGTCCATGCCAATCTAGACGCGGTTTTTCACAAGAAAGCCCCGATCGCCATTTTCGCCATCAGGGCTTTTTTGCGCAAAACAGTTTTTAGCTGTCTACACTGGCCCTCTTGCACAAAAACATTTCCGGAAAAGGGCTTTTGCCCGAACGGGAACTTCAAAGCATTTGTGCAAGAAGCACTGATTTCAGACAGTAGAACGTCAGTGCTTTTACGCAAAATCAAGTGGCCAGTGTAGACAGCTGGCAAGTTTTTGTGCAAAAGCAGTTGCTTTTGCGGAAAAACTTGCCAGTCTAGACGCAGCTACTCTGTTTATTGTTTGTGATGTTCAATAGCTTCTATTTCTGAAAATCTGAAACAGGGCCATCTGCAACCACATAGCATTACCCAAATACCTCCATAAGGGTGCCAGGTAAAGCCACTAACTTTTAGCAAACCTCTGCCATTGAAGGGAGGAGGAAGGGAATGAAAACTCTCCCAACATGAGAAGGGAAGCAGGAAAAGGTGTCAGGCTCCACTTTTCAAAGGACAGGCTTTCCAACAGGAAGACTATCACCAGAACAAAGAGACAGAGGAAGAGGAGTGGAGGCAAGAAGGACAGTGACTGTCTTGGGAGCAGGACTCTTGAAAGCAGTGAGGACTCTGAGGGAAGAAACCCACGTTCAGTTGTTTATTGTTTTTCCATAGGTCTGCAAATCTCATGTGCCATCTAGGAGTAAGATGCATATGTTTAAGAAGTTCTTGGCAAAGCCTGAGTGAAGACTTTGGTCTTCCTGCTGTGTGTCACAAAGAGTTAAACTATCTACTGGAGTACCCATGAAGCTAAAGGTCTGTGGAGAAAGTGCATGAAACTTGGGGCAGTTTCAGAACTGGTGTGGGGGCCTACGTCCCTCAGAGACAGAACACGCCGAAGAGGTAAGGATTAGAGACAGTGTCTGGACGCAGCTCAGACTTCATGGCTATGTCTACACTCGCGGCTTCTTGTGCAAGAACATTTTGTGCAAGTGTCTTGTGCAAGAACTCATGCGCAAGAAAACGTCCACACTGCCATGTGTGAGCTGTGCTTTTGCGCAAGAGCACCCATGGCAGTGTGGATGCTCTCTTGCGCAAGAAAGCTCTGTTGGCCATTTAGCCATAGGGCTTTCTTGCGCAAGAAATCCCTGCTGAGTGTCCACACTGCCCTCTTGTGCAAGAGCTCCTGCACAAGAGGGCTTACACCTGTCAAAAAAGAGCGTAGCTCTTGCGCAAGGAGCCCCCTCTTACCACGCCGTACTGTAAATTTACTTGCGCAAGAGCAGGCGGGAAGTGTGGATGCTCTGCAGATTCTTGCGCAAGAATGGCCGTACTTGCGCAAGAAGCTGCAAGTGTAAATATAGCCCATGTATTTGGAAGCATGTAGGATCCCAAGACTGGGTCCAATACAGCAGACTAGTGACTGCTCATGAGTGGAGAATCTGCCAGGTCTCCAGAAGAGGCGAAAATAATTTTTTTTTTGCCCCCTTCATTGCCATGATGTCCAAATCAAAAAATCTTTATATCCCATTTGGTCAGATTAAGCCAGGATGTTTGGCACTGGCATCCCAGCACCTCCCTCCTGCAGCTAGCACAGGTCACCTAAAGACCAAGGTGACCTGTTAGACTCAAGCCCAAAAAGAGGATGTGCAGGGGCACCCGTGTCAATGACTGAGGACATTTAACCTTATGATTTATCAATTTTAAGGTCAAAGGGTCCTTCAGTCCTGCTTTGGCATGTGGGGGATGGATGGACAAGGTGAACTCTCAAGGTCTCTTCCAGTTCTATAGTTCTGTGATTCGTTCCTCCAGCCTCACCTCCAATGTAACACAAGCAAGAGAAATTCAAATAAAGCATTTGTGCTGAGGAGCAGCAAGATGGAGAATACGGGCAACGATCCCACAACCTCTCACGTGATATTCCACTACTAGGTAACGCAGTCTGCCAGGGGGAATGGCATCCTCCCCCAGCTTCCCACTCAGATTCCATTAGTCTCTGAAGACCTGTCTTCACTACATGAAAGATTACCACTGCCACGATCGCTCTTCCAGAGTTCGATTTAGTGAGTCTAGTTAAGAACCACTAACTCAAACTCAGAGGGTGCCCCCTGCCGATGTCTAGTATTCCTCCTTTTGCGAGGCGTAAGGGAAGCTAATGGTAGCATTTGCTCCAATCGGCCTCCCGCTGTGGGGACACCACCCAGCTTGGCTTAAGGTAAGCCGACTCCAGCTACGTATTCTACCTAGCTGGAGTTGCATACCTTAAGCCAAGCCTAGCGTAGATTTGGCCTGAGGGTGAACCAACCAAATAAGCCCCACCTACCCGAGAGGAAGGCAGAGCAAAACTGAGGGAAGCAATGGTCAATCAATGAGGTGGGTAGGGTTTCAGGATTACTCACCCCCATCCCAAACACAAAGCCTACAGTGGGATCCACTGGGAGTTGAACCAGCAGCCTCCTGGGTTAGCTCTGTAATAATTTAAGATTGATGTATATGAACTGGCTATTGGGATGGCCGCTATGAACAGTGGGATGTTTACTTTCTGACAACTCGGTTAAACAGGAAGGCTAAACAATGACTTGAGAGGACACCTCGGTGCACGCACAGGGTTGTTACAAGGCAAGGGGAAAGCTGCCGGCCCTTAGGAGAATGGTTCAACCTGCTGCTGAGTGTAGCAATGCATTTGGACAGCAGGGCCCCAAAGCCCACCGAGAGACCCAAGAATGCTAAAAGTGTTTCTTCCTCAAGTTAGAGAGGCAACTGCTCAATCTCTCTCTCCCACACAGGCATCTGCTGGGGATAGCTGGAGAAGGTAGGCCTTCCCGCAGAAAGTCTCTGCACGTCAAAAAAACTTTCCCCTTTACAGCGTGCTTTATTATTATTGTAAAAAAAAAAAAAAAAAAAATCACACAATGCTTTGGTTTAAGGTGGTAACTTCATCACTCTATTCACAGATCCCCGATAGGACTGCATCTGCTGAACTCAGCCCAACCTGCTGGAAAGGCATGGTTGATACACAGAATATTGCAGCCTCAGGCATGGTTTAACAAAGGGAGAATCCCATGACGTCACCGTGGAGAGGCATGACCGTAGGGCACACTCAGAGAGACCAGGTAGAGGAGAGAGGTGTAACTAGCTCTGTAACCATGACAGGCACCTTAATTTTCTCTGAAGCCTCTATTCAATATTTTCTTTTCAAGCCAGGTTTTGTTTCTGATAATAAAAACAAACTAATAGAGTACTTAGCAGAGAAAGGCATATTAGGTACCAGTGTCCAGAAGTTAAAACCAGACAAATTGAAACTACCAACAGAAAAGGTGGATTCTCTATCTCTTGACATCTTCACATCAAGACTGGATGCTTTTCTGGAAGATATCATTAAGTCACACAAGTACTGGGCTCAGGGGAGGGCAGTTGGATGAAATTTTACAGCTTGTGTCACACAGGAGGTCAGACGATCTAAAATGGTGCCTTCTGGGCTTATAGGTGAATGAATGTATCAAATTGATTAAATCTATCTTTTTAAATAGTGCCATAGCAACAACAAAATAGACATTTAATTGCTGGCAAACATATTCCTGCCACATTTAGAAAACACACACCAGGACAGATAATAAATCTTAGCCTGAGTGTTCCATTCTTAATTTTAGAGTCAACCAACAGCCATGAGGCCCAGATCTGTTTTCACTAAAGCCAATGGAATTTTGTTTCTTTTCCTGCTAACTGAAAAAGCGATTTTTCCTTCGTTTAAAATGATCAGACCGATGCATAGATATAGATCAGGACTACTCAACTCACAGCCCATGGGATGCATGTGGCCTGCGGTGCGGTTTGGATTTACGTGGGGCTCAACACGCGGCCCATGGGTGGGAGCCAAAACAAAACTGTAGTCAATATAAATGGTCTTCTGTTGAGATGCGTTTTAGTAGTTAAATTCCTGGACTGTCATTGCTCACTAAAAGTGCTGTCATTTGGGTGGAAATCGGGTCAATATTGCATTTTATTAATATCAGCGCAACTGACTTTAAACAGGGCCTGTGCGTTGTGTAATCTTGACTTAATCTTTGTATTCAGGCCCATCAGTGTGAAGGAAGCTATTTGCATAGATATGCAACCACCCTTAAGTTGGCATGTGCTACCAGTAACACTATGGCTGCCAAGGCTTCCAAAGTTGAGTAGCCCTGATATAGATATACACACACTAAAATAAAAATACTAACAACAACATAATGAACTCCATCTACCTTAGGCATTTCTGAAGAACCTTTCGCCCTGGCATTTAAGAACGGACACCAATAATTATAGCACTTATTTAAAAAACATGTCAGCTGTGTTAGGAAATCAAAGCACTCAGATAGAAGCTTTTGAACATCACACAAAGCCCGTAGGACCCAGCATGCTCCTACAACCCCTTGAAGCGAAAACCCAAACTTCCACTGGCTTCCAGCAGTGCAGGATCAGCAATGCAAAAACTCCTGGAATACCCAGGAATGACAGTGAGACAGTGCAGGAGGCCGGGCTATTTCTTGATTTAAATCAGTGGATAAAGTCAGAAAATCTGGCTGCCCCACATTCCTCCTCCAATCCCTCCCTCTCCCTCTGTCATTTCAGCATGAACTTGGAACCATTCTTCTTTGCTCCGAGCGGGTTTTTACACGCCAAAAATCTCGAGGAGCCAGCCAAGTGTAGCTCCAGAAAGCTCCCCAGGACTTCCACAGCCTGCTCTCTCCTTAGCTAGCCAGAGCTCATTTCCCAAAGGGACCCATTAACTCTTTCCAAGCCCATCCCCTCCAATGAACCCGTCTCCCCCACAACCAGCTGCCGCAGGTGAGAGACACAACACACCCCCACCCAGCAGCTGCAAACCGAGGACTCGCAGCGGCAGCATGGAGCAGCCAGCGGGGGTCTCTCCTGCCAGAGGGAGCAAGGGGAGGCGGCCAGGGGGCTGCAGGGGTGGGGAAGGGACCCAGCCGCCCGCTCGCGCTCACCTGCTCTGTCCCAGACCCGCGGCGGCTCCCTCCACCAGCCCGTGGTGCAAAGAACCGCGAGGGGGCGGCGCGCTGCCTTACGCGGCGGCGGGGCCCCCGGGGCTACTGCGGCGAGCCCGGGGAGTGGCGTTCGCTCTGCTCCCCGCCCCGTCTGGCAGCAGGGCGCGGGCAGGTCGGGGCAAGCCAGCAAGAGGGCAGGCTGTGTGGGGCTGCAGCCCCTCCCCCCCCCCACGCGTGAGGAAAAACTATCCCGCCCTACAGCCCACCCAGGCTTGCGTGGAGCCCCCCCCGCGAGGCGGCGCAGGGCTGGGGTGGGGAAACTGAGGCCCCGGGCGGGCTACGGTCTTCAAAGGTATGTAGGTGCCCGGCTCGTTGGCTTCAAGGCACTGACATGCCTTGGACGTGGGGGGGGGAACTTCCGGCCTGCCAG